GTAGTTTAGACGTGAAGTATCGTTGGACACTTTCTATTTTAAGTTTGTCACTTACGCGAGTGCTGCTGAGAATAAATGGACAATATTCAAGTAGTGGTCTGACACAAGTTTTATATAATAATAGCTTCGCCTCGTAGTTGTGGAAATTCCTGAGTATGCATCCTAAGAGCATCCTCGATTTACGCGTCTGTGTCGCCACTTGCTCGGAAAATGTCAAGTCACTAGAGTACCTGAGTCCTAGGTCAACAACACTTTGGAGTTTAGGCAAGTCAAGAGATTCAAGTACCAGTTTAATATTTATTGAGGGTGCACCGAAGCATATCCAACCACATTTTTTAAGGTTGAATTTTAGGTTCCATGTGGAGGACCATGCAGTTACTCGATCTAGTTCTTCCTGAACAGCTTTCTGAAAGTATCCTAAGTCATCACAGTGGAATGTGTAAGCTACTTTGAGATCATCTGCGAAGATGAATGGTTTGCCAAGTGAGAAACGGCTGCATATGTCGTTGACATATAGAGTGAATAGGAGGGGGCCTAAGACGCTACCTTGAACTACTCCTGAAGTGACTGGACTAGGTTTAGAGTTTACAGAACCCAGTCTAACTACTTGGGACCTATTGTTAAGGAATGATTCAATCCATCCTAATAATGGGTTACTTATTCCTAAAGAGTTTAGCTTATTTATTAGAAGCAAATGGTCAACGCGGTCAAAGGCTTTAGATATGTCGAAGTAGATGACTAGTACTTGTTGTTGTTTGTCTCGGCTGCTAGTTATATAGTTAAAGAAGTCAAGGTGACATGTCATGCATGATCTGGATTTTAGGTATCCATGTTGGTTTGGACTTAGAAGATTGCAGCTGAGCATATGTTTGAGGATATCATCTTTAACTATTCGTTCAATGATTCTAGATACTATGGGTGTAATATTGATTGGCCTATAGTTGTTGACTTCAGTTTTTGATCCGGATTTGTGTTTAGGTACTATAAATGTCGTTTTCCATTTATCTGGATAGGTTTGGCTTTCTAGGGACATTGTAAAAATCTTAAGTAATAAAACGGAAATGTCAGAACCACCGTGTTTATAAAGATACGATAGTATACCGTCAAAACCGGCACTACTAGAGCTTTTAAGAGTATTAACGGCTTGGTTAATATTAGAGTAAGTGAAATGAACTGTAGTGATTTGTTTCAGCGTTGAAGATGAAGGCAGTTTTATTTTAGATTGTAAACCGAGAAGTGGACTTGTAGGCTTAAGGTAGTTGGCTGCAAACGTCTCATTAAACAGTTCACACATGTCTGCATGGTTGCTGTATAGTTTGCCCTTGTTTATAAGGAGAGAAATTTTATGGCTTTGGCGATTCATTCGTTTCTTTAGTATTTCTGTGAGAGCACCTACTCTGGTGGTGCTGGCTAGTGCGGTGCATTCTTCATTTCTCATACGCAAGTTATGAGCTTGCGAGATGGAGCTAAGAGTACTAAGTATTGACCCTAGTGTACTAAAGTCGTGTCGCCTGAAGTAACTTGTTGACAGTCTTTTCAGTTTCCTACGATCCTTTGGCTTTATGAATGTCTTTCTATGTGGGGAAAACTTTATTGTTTGAAATGGGATGACAGCATCTAAGCATGTGTTGGAGTTATAGTAAAAGATGTCTAGAGCTTTCGAGAGGCTATCAGTATAGAAGTACTCACTCCATTCTGAGGATCTTAGCATTGACTTTACTAGAGTCCAGTCTGCCTTACTGTAGTTCCTGTAAGTTATTTGTTGTGAAGTAGGCGTATTGCATTGCTACTTGACGGAAGTGGCAGTGCACACAGCACTGTTTTGTGGTCACTCCCTGAAAACTCAGAACCTACTAGGGTAGAAAGGGGACTTATATTGTGGCAGAAGATTAAGTCTAGTACGTTATTACCTCTTGTAGGGGTTGTGACAGTCTGCTTCCAGCCAAGTATATCCAGTGTGCCTAAGAACTTATCAAGTTTAGTTGGACCTGTGGGTATTTCCCAGTTGATTTCTGGTAAGTTAAAGTCTCCACATAGGATCTTATGATCGTAGTGGAGGGTGGATAATTGTTCTAGAGTATTAATAAGTTGGGTCTCGTAATTACTAAAGGTGCCAGGTGCTCTGTAGGTGCATCCAATTAATACTATTGCGTTATTTAAGTGTAAGTTAACCCATAAAGTCTCAGGCATGTTAAGTGTACTACTTTCTAGCTGTGATACAGTAAGTGCATTCAGAAAGTACATAAGACAACCCCCTCCCTTACCACCTTCCCTGTCACACCGAAAGTGTGTGTAGTTATCTAAGCTTATCTCTTCATCCAGTATGTTCGAGTTACACCAGGATTCAGTGATGATAATTATAGGGGGTTTGTATATTACTGTGAGTGCTCTGAGCATCGGTAGTTTATTTAGAACGGATCTAGCATTTATGAGGATTAGGTAAAGATGAGATTTGAAATAGCATTTGAAGTACTTAAGTTCGTTAATCAGCCCCGAATGTGGTTCAGCACCCAGTAGTACTGTTTGACATGACGGCCCTATGTTAAGAGGAGTTTCAGCATCATGTTCACCTATGTCTATCGAGTTGGTGTGTGCTGTTTTTGGTGAAGAATTGAGCGTTGGAGTACTGGATGTGCTATAGGCTAAGGCATTTTTATTTTTAGTTAAGCTAGAAACGGGGGTAGGGATCTTTATTTGACCTAAACTTGTGCATGTACCAAGTGTGCTTAGTGGATGCGAGCGAACTAGACTGTTCCTACATTCATGCAAAGGGGGAGCCAGCACTAGCGGTTTAGGAGTGTTAGCATCCCTACCAGCTGTTTTTTCAACGCTGACAGGGACAGTACTATTTTACAAAAGAATGCTATCAGTACATGGGAATCACCTATAAATGCTAACAGAACATAAAACCAATGTGCAAACGAACGGCTATGGAACTGCAATCCAACATAACCGACTAACATGGACGAAAATGACCTTTGAGCGTCTCACTCCATCAATGACCTTGAGCATGCGGGATAATTTCAGCCGTGATATTCGACCAATTTGCAAATGATGTTCAAATAAAACATTCGAGATATGGTATACCAAATTTATTCACCTACAATGAGTATGTTCAAATAAACATTCCTTAGAAGCTCGTCGGTCGTTTCCTCCTTACAGTAGCATCCGAAATAATCAGATTCAACGAATTTTTGGAGATCTATCATTTTAAATTCTGCATACGATACGATAAACTTGAAGAGCATGATAGGAGTGCTGATCGTAACAAATTCGTAGATGGGTCTCTCAGGCAGAAATTAAACCATAGTTGAACCGATATTCTTGAAAGGACGGCATGACCGGTTAATCTCGAAGAAGCAACGATCATCAGGATTTATTTAGAAGGCGATTCCATTACTTGACTACAGACACGACCAGAGCATTTTAAAATGAATCGATTGATGTTGTAGCGGTATATAAGTCCCCGAAATTATTAACCCACAACAGTCATCATGCTCTGGATACCGATCTTTACAGTTTAAATTGACACGTTTAGCCAAATACTCACTGTCAGTCACCTACACCTTGTTGGTAGGCCATTGTAATACGTTCGACCTATCGTGCACAATCTATTGCTAGTTAAGCAGTCACCCTTGCGCCATGATTTTGGTCCCAAACTACACTTTGTATTATGTAGGAGATCAGTTCGGTGTTGAGATACGCCTTTGGTTTATCCAGAAAAAATACTTGAGGAGTTGCAGGATGAGAACTTGTATAAACGTTAACCCCATCTCCTAAACTATGATTATTAACTGTAGGTTCACAAAGTAGCAAAATAGGTGAGAGTTTATTACACTTGCATTGAAAGGAAGAGTTTATTCTAGAATTTTAGACACGCCAGGCGTCCTGTATCTTACGCCTAATTCGTTGGTTTGGTTCACTCCATCGAAACTTAATTCGCTAGTCATCATTTCTGCGTCACTCATTCGGTGGCAGGCCGAAAGAGTTGAAAAAACACTGGGGCCAGAACTCTCCAGTTTAACTGTTACTCCTAGAAATAACCAAGGTATATGAACTTCCACAGGGGGAAATACGTTTCTACTGGTGATTAGCAATTAGCTGCTTTCCTAGACTGTAGTTTAACGTGAAGTTATTTTTCAGGAATGTAGAATACTTACGCTTTACATGGAGGTTATGATGTGCGGAGATTGAAAGTATAAGCTATTGGCCCAGCGTTTTGTCCCTAACAGTCACAATATAACTTCCGAGATGACTTCAGCTCACTAGTACGTATTTAAACTAACAAATTTAAGTTGTTCATACACACTCCAGCAGAACTGCTCTCTTGCATTGACAGAGACAATGCCTTTCCAAATAGTGCTGGCGGGAAAACGAGAAATAAGCGCTAACTGTGTATAAGATTCAACCTAACCTACGCCAACCTTCTTCTTTGCTTAAAAGTTGTCAAATGCTCTGAGATGGGAGTTGTTCCCGCAGTTGTGAGAAGTGTTGTTGCGTCACAATCTCCAGAGACAGACGTCAGTTTGGTGAAGGAGATAGAAAAGATTAACTGAGGTTGTGATAGGACTAAAGTACTGGCTGAATGACGCTTGAGTGCGGAAACCGGATTTATTGTGTATTCACTCTCAATGGTCTATGAACTAAGATTGATGTGGTTGCGGCCTGGAAATTAGTGCAGAAATGAAACAGCCAGATGGACATGTCATCACTACTAAGTTGTCTGTAGAAAAGTCATTACATGGTGTGGAGAAATAAAAGTGAAGAAAGCAATAGCCTTATATAAACTTGTCTCTATGTTGTTAGATGCAGGATACAGATCAGTCCAGGAGATTGCTGGGTTAACTATCTTGAAATCCCTCAGGATAGGGAAATGCGTCCGCTATAAAATTCTGGATAAATGGAAAAACCGATGTCTAAACGAACAGCTACGGAACTACAACTCAACATGGCCGACTAACATGGACAAAAATGACCTTTGAGCGTCTCACTCCATTAATGACCTTGCACGCGACGTTTAATTTCAAACAGCAAACTTGATTCACGTGAGTCTGTATCAAGGAAACTGGGTATTAGAACATTGAGCAAAAAGCGGCTAGATTTGATGTGTTGCGTTTCGTTATGCCAGAAATTGTCCCGAATAGAGTTGTTAGCTTTACGAGTGAGGACAAGGTATGTCAACCCCACTAAATTATAATCTTTTGACCTCGGCTACATTCTTGTTTAACTGATTATAGCGGTTATTATATGTTTCCAATGAAATATTGGAAAATAGGTCGTATATATCAACATGTGGCTATTAAAGCTAACAATTTCACACAGTTAATCAACCTTAGAATTACTTCTGTTTTAGGTAGTTCATAAGAAAGTGGTATTAGTGGATAAAACATCTGGTTTATCTGAAATTAGCACCTGCATCTTAATCCACGAAATTGAGTGGATTTTTCTACAGACAGTTAAATAGAAAAGTCAATATAGATGTGTTCTTAAATTTTCGTCAAGTACCACTGACGCAAATTTATCTACTAATGTCTCTGTACCCGTTATTGTAAATATTACACTGGTCCGTCAATCTGCTATACATAACATGCGATGGTGTTGATTAGCAAGCGAAGTGATGGTTTTTCCTCTCTGAACACAATCTTTACTTAGTTGCTGTTGCCAGCACTAGGAGTTTTTCGACGTCACCTGTTCTGGTTCTGGTGGATGTAGGTTAATTGCAGTACTGTATTTTAATATTCATAGTCTAAGCTTGTTGTAGACTTCTGTGCAGTTTATTACAACCAATTATCTAAACATACACATCACTAGTTGTGCGCTATTTTACTGTGAAGAACGACAAATTAAATAGTATGCTTCAATTACTTATTTAACATAGAGTCATGCTGCTCTATATTGCTCTGATAGTATTACTGTCTTATTTACTTACTCAGGTTTCCGCTGCATACATTACTGATATGTGCCGTTGTAATCATCAACATTCATATGTACTCGTATGTATATTAGCATATCTTCACTATTATAATAGTTAACCTATTTCAAACTTATTCATTTGAACCACAAAGAGTTTCTCAGAATCACGGTCTTTGTGGACAATAGCTCATTGTTCGGTCGGTCGGTTTTCGACATAGAACTTTGCACATATGTGCGGCAGTTCAAGTCGCCACAATCTATGTAGCACGCAAAGCAAGAGAAGAAAGTAGAAGAAATGCATAATAGAGACAGTAGACAGAGGTGTGAGACAAAGGAATAGTAATAACGGAGAACAAAACAGTTTAATTGGAAATCATAAGTCACAAGAAGTGGATGCATCTGCGCTCATTGTTAGTAGTAATTTAAACGAGAAATAATATTTTGAGTGAGTGGTGGCGAAATACCACGTCCCAGGAGTGTGAACACTCCAGTAACCTTGAACGCATACTACTCGTTAGATAACGGGTCTTACCATTATTATTAAAGCTGCAGTGTGAACGACGTTCACTAATCAGGGTGTCAATTTCACCCCGATCACGCTCTCAAGTATTGTTTGGACGGTGTGTTGATAGCGCGTTAGGGTTAGGATTATGGTTATGTTTCGGGTTCGTATTATTTAATTTTAATTTTGTTATCCTCATTTTCCTAGTAAGTAAGTAGTCTTCGGTCCTCTTACTGGAAACCGTAATAGTTCAACCGAAAGGTTTCGGGGAAGACTGCATAACAGGATAAGAGCGATAAACGGGTCAGTCACCTCAGTGAATAAATGTACAGAAACTGGTCTAACTTGAAAACTGATACTCGTTATAATTCGGAGCTATTTTTAAGTCATGTTAGAGGAAGATACACTGTTTATGCATTTTTTTGCAAATAAGCGTCACAAATGTAATCTGGCATCAAAATCGTGGTGCAAGAATGACCGTGTAATAAACGGGACGAACGTAACACGACGGCCTACCAAAATGGCGTAGATGACTAACTGTGACCATTCGGCTAAACGAGTTCACTTAAACAATAAAAGTTGGCATCCAGCGATGAATACTATAGGCTAATAATTTTGGTGAATTATTTACCACTATATAGTAATGCTAAGTTTGAGACCTGGCCACTTAAAGTGGAAGACATGAAAGTCCTTGCCAGCCGTCTTTGATCATAGGTGCCCGAGTGAAATGATATAATGGGGTGAGCAATCTTAAGGTTAAGCGTCGAGTGCTAGTTAAGGAGAGGAAATCAATCGACGAGGCTGTGAAGCTACATCGACTGAGATGGTTAGGACATGTCTTACGCATGTCTAGTCATACATCGTCTTCCTCGACATCGGGCAATGTTAGCTGACGTAGGATGAATCAGGCTGGAGATCTTGTGGTGGTCAAACGGAAAGTTGGCTTCATCAGTCAATGAAATACACGACAGTTAGTTTAAGCCACGCAGGAAGGTGTAGACTTGCTGGTTGGGGTCCTCGAGACGGTAAACACTAATGAGGCTGGAGACAATTGGTGATGTGGCTGGAAATCGCTCTCAATGGCTGAGGCAAATGTATCCACTCCTTGTGACATATCCAGTAAAATTACGTTGTTCTTCCATATTACTATTCTTTTTGCCTCAAATCTCTGTTTACTGTGTCTATTTTACATTTGTCTTTACTTTCTTCTCTTGCTTTGTGTGCTATATGAAGGGAGTGTGGCGACTCGAACTGCTGCACATCTCTGCAAAGTTCTATGTTGAAGCCAATCAGTCAGTATTAAGTTTGTGGACCATGAACTGGAAAATGAACCATTAATACTTTCTATTACCTATGGTATTTAATCCACTTTCACTAAGTACTTACCTCAAATGACAAGATAGTTAAGGACAGGCAGGGTTATAAATGATTAAGGTAAACAAATTTATTAAGTACTTTAAAGGTTTTCACTGCTGTTCTTTCTGTAAACCCGTTTAGATTACTTAAATATGATCTTTTAACATTACAAATTGTCCTTAGTCAACACGATATCAAAGAAGAGATTTCATTAGAACATGTACACTTGTTCTTTGTCATCTCTTCTACTTTTGACTGCCTATCATTTCACATTATTCGTCTTTTGTACTAAGAAGAAATCTATGTAGACTATCCACTATATATTTGGCAGTCACATTGAAAATGTATGAAATGAAGTATATATGTTTTGTAAAATATACCACATATCTCTATTTTAACATTTATATGATATTCATCATAGAAATTGAATTAATTCACACCGACATTCTTTTCTTTTTTTTTAGGCATTTCCTGCATCCAATCTATTAAAAGGATCATCATTTTCAAAATGGCGTTGCCTTACCGGTGGAACAAAACAGGAAGCAGTGGAATTCAGTGTAAACACAAGCATACCATTAATGCATAATCATAAACTATTTTTTTGTAGTTCTCAGAACCTGTTGAAATTTCACGCATAGACATTGGAAATAATGGTTCTGCTTTTATTGAAGTGTTGGTGCGAAGATCTGCATCATCTGAAGATCCGTCGGTAATTATACCCAATTTAGTGGGCTTTTTTTATACTTCTGTTTTCTGCGTTTTTTTAGGTACTGCTTCCATCTTCATCTTTTATGTCTCCAGTGGATGCAAAAAACGAGACTAATCTTAATCGTGTTCGTGTATTCAGTGGCGATCAGTTTACAAAATCAGTTGCTAGTCAAAAATGGGATATTGTTAAATTTGTCTGCTCTCAACCATTTAACAAAACACTACAGTATGGTATTTCTTTTGTTTTCTTTCATACTCCAGCTACGTCGAATCCTCCAGCTGATGTGAGTTTAATAGATTTTCAATTAGTTCTAATGATTTTTTTTTAGAATAATAAAGGAATCAAAGTTGATAGTCTGATCACTGAGGACGATACAGATTCACTTGATTTCAAACCGGGATCACTGTTTCAGGCTTCACGTCAGGCAGTATCTTGCAGTCAAGATAGCTCGGAATCTAAATCTTCAGGTAGGATTAATCTTTTAATAAGGGCTAACATTGAATATATATAGTTTCAGATAAACTTATTGCTGCTAAACAGTCGACGAATGTATCGGCTACTGGTAAGTCGACAGCTATTTTTTTGTTAATGTGTAATTATTCTCTTTTAATGTTGAAATTCGGTAAGGTTAAACTCCAAGCACCACTAACTAGCAATAGGCGAACGACCTTCAACGGACCAGTCACATGAAAGAGGGATATTTGATAAAGGAAAACGTATATTTATGGAAAAAGCATAAAATATAAAACTGTTATATAGGGTATCATGTGAGAGAAACATCTCCCAGTTTAGCTTAGAACTGTCGATAGAAAAGTCACACCACATTCTGTACATTTATTTATCCAAATGACTATAAATGAGATCCTTTTGTGGTTCATTTATAACCCTAATCCTATTTTCCAATCTTCCCCAAAATCTTTCAATAGAATTTGTATGTGTCCTCATTATGGGATCCACGAAATCCCTAGAATGGTTCACTCTGTGATGAATATATCCAAGAGGTGACAGGGAGTTATAACCCTTCCACTTATCGGCGTGTATTATAGATCCCTATTTCACAATTCCAGTGATGATAGGTACAAAGGTAGTTGACTTTCTGTCTGTAACTCTCTCGATGAATCCTTTCTGTCGAGAGGTGTCATACAAGCCGATCACCCAAACATATTGTTTGCTCGTTCACAACCACGGTTGTATTTTTCTTCAATGGCACAGTTTCGTCCACGTGCATGACGATGCCTTCTCCGTCCAACAACGAAGTAATTCTCTCTATCTTCCGTGATACGTTGTCTCTGCAGCGCTGGTATCACTTAACTGTTGAGACGAAGCTATTTTACGTTTCAGCAGCTGCGCCTCTGATAGGCTGTTTTAAAACCCAGTAGTTACAAATATACAAAATCTGGGTTAGGTAGAGATGCGACCTACCAAAAAATGTTCATACGAAATATTAAAATTATCGACTTACCTTCTTTAATACTAACTAGTCTCAAACAAATTTCACAACAATGTACATATCCATCAATCCACCTGCTAAAGCTTTTTCAACTCATCACACCATCACATGAACAAATCCTCTACTTCCTAAGCAACCCTAAATCCAGGCAATAATGCAAAACCTTATCCTCCTCGAACTGCAAGCGTAAGTTCATTAGAGCACGCATTTGAAACGAATCAAGCGGTATACAGAATTGAACTCGCGTGCGTGAACCTCATTGGACTATTCAACGTCGTTCGCTGATTGGTAGTTAGTGGTGCTTAAAGTGTTTAACTTGGCCTGAAATTCATCAAGTAAACTTGAATGCTTGACACTCTATATACTACTGATTAGCTGAGATGAGTAGTTCAATACCATTCACATAAACGGGTAGTTGCAGATCGAAGTCATCTATACACCAGACATTCGTTTGCATCGTATAGCGCGTGGCGCTTATCCGCCTCAAAGAGCCATCTAAAAAACTAGTCGGTTTCTTAGGCGAACGTTAATTTTGCAAACTATGAATGTGATTAAGTTCACTTCCTATTCGTGTATTTTGCCGTTCTAGTTAACAGAAAGATACATTGGGAAGTTGTGTGTTTTTATTCCTTACGTTCCAGGGGAACATTGGGCTTCAAGCTAGGGGCTTGAAGTTTCTGTAACAGTGGTGCTTATTTCTGCAGAATGAGGTTGCTAGCCTCATGGCCAACCTTATTACTGGCTTAGCGAGGTAAACGAGTGCGTTGGCCGGGAATTGAACCCTGGATCCCACAATCGTGGTCGGCGAGCATTCTACCGCTGTGCCACCGACGCACTACATTGGGCAGTGCACAATATCATCAAATAATACATCAATTCAAGTTGCAAAACTTGTGAACAATATGAATTCTGTGGAGTAGGATAAGATTTAGATTTATGTCAATGATGATGTTGTCCATTGATTCGAAAAATACATTCGACCTTCAGCCAGTCAATCCAAGGTTCAAATCTCACTCGACCTGCTTTAACTCCATATTGGATAAGATTTTATTTTAATAAATCACAGTGTTGCACAGTTAAATTAACTGATGACATTTCGAGCACAAACTATTGCTCATAATCATATCAAGTTACTCACACAACTTTTTTCCTTCATTTATATACATGAGTGGAATTATGATTAAATATTTGAATAAAAATCAACCAATATAGGATAATGTACATTCAGAAATAATAATAATACGAGTGTTATTGATCAATTACAATCAGATGGGAAATAAAACGAGTGTTTTTATAGTCATAATAAGTTACTTCTTGGAATGTTGTGTTGTGCTTGAATTGAAATAGAATATTAAGATTATTTATTATTTTCTTCTGATTTGACCGGCGGTAATAATATCTTCCATATTTCTGGTATTTGCATTGAGTCATTTCTGTTGCATGTGTTGGGTGTAGACTCAATGAACAAGGATTCCGTAGTCAACCTCTCTCTCCACCTACCTATGTTACTCTTTAGAATTTTAACCCTATCCCACCCTATTGTGTGGTTGTTTGTTAATGCGTGAATGGCAATTGCTGAGCTTTTTTCTAAATTACTTATCTTTTCAGGGTCAACCATTCTTCCCTTAGCTAAATTCTTATGTTCTGATAATCTGACTACCCCTGATCTACTAGTCTGACCTATGTAATTGACTTCACAGTCATTGCAGGGTATTTTGTAAATTATATTATTTTGTTTAATTGGGTCAATAGGGTCCTTTAACCTACAGAGCCTGTTCCTGAGTGAGTTTGTAGGTTTGAATGCCACCCTAATTCCTGCTTTATTAAGAATCCTACGTAGGGTCTCAGATGTCCCCTCTTTATATGGTATTACAGTGGATGACTTATATTCCCTCTTATTTATGTTATCATTACTAGTTCCACAATTATTTTAATTTTGTTTTTGGCCTTTAGTTATCTTTCTAATGAATTTTATAGGATAGTTATTCAACACGAACGCTTCTTCTATCTGTTTAATTTCGTCCTTTAGGTCTTTTTTGTGCTACTTAGTTCTATGGCTCGGTTTGTTAGACATTTAACCATGCCTGCCTTAACAGTTAACGGATGAGACGAATTAAAATCTAAATATCCTATTATTATTTCTGAATGTACATTATCTCATATTGAATTTTATTCCAATATCTAATCGATTCCGCACATGTATATAAATGAAGGAAAAAAGTTGTGTGAATAACTTGATATGATTATGAGCAATAGTTTGTGCTCGAAACGTCATCAGTTAATTTAACTGTACAACACTGTGTGATTTATTAAAATAAAATCTTATCCATTATGGAGTTACACTCTACCACAGTGCCCAAGTTTTATACTTATATCGACCTGCTTTAGTCTGAGCGACTGGGTGGTAGTATCATTAGCGCTTACACAATAAATGTGACTCATAGTCGAGTATCGTGTAACTAACTACTAACAAAGTAATACGAATAATATGACTACATAGAGAAATTACTATTTTTATTATTTCCTTGGATTCCGAGTGGAATATGATGCTTCAGCAACACATCTCCATTTCACTCTGTTCTCGATAAGTCTTTCTCAGCTAGTTCCACAGATGCCCACCAACTTTCATTTCTTCTTCTTCTTCACATCATCTCCTCTGTGTCATCCATGGACAGTCATCTTGTCCTTTTCCATTCGGTTTCCGCACGAGGGTCTGGTGCCTAATGGTCCCCTCATCGTATGTCCAATTCATTTCAGTCTCTTTTTTGCATATTTGTCGGTCGATAGGTTCTTATTTGGTTCTTTTCCAGAGTTCCGTGTTGCTTACCCTTTCTGTCCAGTCATCTAGTCCTCAGTATGGAGCAGACGGCAGGTGGTGATGAATGTCTGTAGCCTGTGAAGTGCTAGGTCTCTGAAGCATGTAGAAGCACTGGTTCAACATCAGTGTTGAAGATTCGAATCTTGTTCATTATGCCAGGTGCAATAAATTCCCACACTGATTTCAGAGTAATCAAGGTCTGTTTCACCTTTCCGAACTATTCCTGGCTGGCTTTGATATCCTGATATGTGCCACCTGTAGTTGAAACGAAGCTGCCTAGCCAAGTAAATGAACAGGTTGACTTCCTTTAGATGTCTTGCATTGAGGATGATTGGTGCTTGTTGTTGGTCGGTGGGTACGGTACCTTCATCACCTCTGTCTCCTCTATGCTCACTTAGAGTCCTGTTTACTCTGTCTCTTCTTGCAACTGGTTGGTTTTCGCCTGTAAATTTTTGAGTTTGTGTGACATTAGACATGTATTGATAAAATATAGACGTGGAGTTGTAGGATCAACGGATCATACACCTTCTTATGACTCAATAACCTCACCTGATATAAGGTTACAAAGAATTAGATATAAATATATTGGTGGTAATATATTTCTGTAATTGTGTTAGCTTCTTCAATCAATCGTCCTAGCATGTAAAGCTCCCTACTAACAATTACAATTGATTAATCACTGTATATACCTTCAAAGTAGGTGAATTTAATCAAATTATTGGAAAATAGGCAAGATCTGAATATGCTATTAGGTGGTTGGAGGCAATCGCCAGGAAGCCCTGTTTGGACCCAGGTTTTGTGCTTGTTGGCACTCACCAGTTAGTCAGCGAGGAGTATCTGCAACCTTGAAGGAACTCATATCCCTTCTGAGATTCGAACCCGCATCACCCAGTGTTGAAGTCAGAGGGAGACGTTACCACTGAGCAACTATTCGGGCTCGCAGCTGACCTCCTGTAGACATGGGTTCCTCCAAGGTTGCAGATATGTCTTACTGACTGATTTGTAAGTGCCAACTAGCATGAAACCTAGATCAAAGCAGGGCTTCCTGCCGACTGCCTCCAACCATCTAATATCATCAAATCAATGTGCACCGTGATGGCGAGCTACCTAATGGCATGATGGCCACATTGCAAACGTGACTGTCTGCACCAGACAAAGGACTAGATGCATCACACTAGTGTCGGTGGCATAGCGGTTAGGACGCTCGTCGACCATGCACATGGTCCGGAGTTCGATCCCCGGCCCACGCACTCCTTTACCTCGCGTCGAATTTCCGAACATCACCCTGCCTGGTTAAGCAAAGGTCAAACAAAATCTATTCGCAGCACAATTCTGGCTCATCTTGTGGAGACAGAATACAAGATTGACGTTAATCATGCTTTCAGGGTCATTTGCCGCATACTACGTACGAATCTCAATTTCGCTTTAAGAGTTCGACTTCTGAATATTGCTGAGGCTGTGGGGATCCATATTAATAAGCCTAATTTATGCACCCAAAAGAAGTTTGTTCAGTCATTATCATTACCTTGGCCATCCAGGTTTGAATGATCCTGAATTTTTGTGAAATTTCCCTTATTTTAGTTGATATTCTATTTGCTGCTATATCTTTTTTATTATTATTATTATAATTTAAGCATCTTTAATGAACTGCAATAGCATTGATCATACTTTACAAATCGATATTATTTAAAAAAACGCTAATATTGTTATTAACTACTAATTTAAAATATTCTGTGTATATAAACATACAAATATATAATTGTAGAACCTGGAAGAGGAATTTATCGAAAAGAATATTCTTTGCTCGATTATTTTGTGTTTTATAAAAATAAACTGGCGAAGAGTAAAGGTTGGGCATGAGGCTAGCAAACCCATTCTGTAAAATAAACGCTGCTACAGAAACTTCGAGCCACAAGCTTGAAGCCCTATGTTCCACTGGAGAACGTGAAGGATAAAACAAGTCACTAGTGTCTAATCAAAGGTCTAAATATATTTTTTTAGAAGAATATTTTTTATACATGGTTAAATAAACGGCATTTGCGAGGAGATTGTGGATCCTATGACATAACAACTAAGCATTAGCCAAGGGTGGTCGCTGTGAAATGATAAGCCGGTTAGTAGTAGAGTCTCGTAGTCCTTGCGGATAGGCCTGTAGACTAGTAAGTAATTTAAAGGCATCTGGCTGGTATCCTACGGCAACCTTGGCTTTCATTTCACTTACGATTATTATGTGAATAACGGTCTGCTAACCAAAGACTCTTTATTAGTCTCACCATCAATTCCATAAACATCATTGCAGTGATTTTGTGAGGTTAGCATTTCTTTCAAAAGACAGATATCTCTTTTTGTTTTAAGTTGTCCAGTGGAAGTATCCATTACAGTCCTACTGGAGGTCAATCACCAGCCCGAATAGTTCAATGATAACGTCTCTGACTACTCCACTGGGGTTAACCAGGGTTTGAATTTCACGAACGGACATGGATTCCTTCAAGAATGCAGATACGGTTTGCTGACCAATGCCAACAAGCGCGAGATCTAAGTCTAAGGCTTCCACATGATTGTCTTCAACTATCTAGAAACAAAGACAATTACACCAAAGCGCATCAGTTCAAGTTGTCACATTTAATGTAGCTTACAAAGGCAGAGAAAAGAGATTCAAAACGATTATCATCCCGAGGACCCTAACCAGACAGCAATCTACACCTCCCAACGTGGCTGGCCCAGACCAACTGTCAAAGACTTCATCGATTGATTCTAGCGTTTTTGGTTTGACCATCCCTAACTCTTTTTCAACTCAACCCTAAGTCAGCTGATACTACTCGACGAAGAAGACAGTTTAGGATCGGGATCATACTAACTCAGCCGATTTCGAATCTATAAATTACAGGTTAAACATTTAGCGCTCATATTAATTAACTACAGTTCTCGTTTCTTTTACTTAATAGTATTCAGGTGTTGGTTTGCAGGGATTTGATGTGATTGGTTACAGGATTTCATCATGAGCTGACATCGGTTAGAGAACCATTGGAAACCACCAACACTGGAGTACTGGACAGCTCTGTTTCGTCCCCTTTCTTTGAGACTCTTCAGCAGTACGCACCCGCTAGGCGGAATTCTAACCCAGGACCTTCTGGTTACAAGGTGAGCGAGCTCGTAGACCATTCAGCGACTGGGACCCGATCCAATGGCCAGTTCATGAGTTCCAACTTCTGCCAATTCACAATATAGCGCAATTGGCACTAATCAGTGTCATCGGTGGCAATTATCTGTCCTCATACCTGACTTTTACTGTATTCCACTGGTCAAGATCTCGCCTTGTAATCAGAAGGTCCTGGGTTCCACCCCCTGTAGTGGATGCGTGCTGATGAAGAGTCCCAAAGAAGGAGGAAGAAACAGAGCTGTCCAGTACTCCAGTGTTGATCTTCAACAGTTGCGTAACCGATGCCAACTCATTATGAAATCCTGTTAACGGTATTCATTTGAAGTATTAAGATCAGGCACTGAGCATTTCGCTTCGTGTACATCCTTACATTTTCTGTTACTTGTCACAACGTTTCTAATTTCCCCTTCGTTTTTCCTCCTTGTTATCTTTAATTTTTAGTAAATACACCCAAACCATCAGTTCATCAAGTGAATCGACAAAATACTACTCCTAAAGTCAGTAACACTGTTCATCACTCCAGCCAAAAACCTTCTTCGTCTTCTCCTGCCCCTTCTTCCTCTGCTTCTTCGTCTAGTCAAACACCAAAAGCATCTGAAGGACAAAGAACAATGAAACCATCTCAGTCTGCATCGAACAAACCTTTATCACATGTTATCTTCACACTGAGTGGTTATCAAAATCCTTTGCGAAGTCAAATTAGAGATAAAGCACTCGAGCTTGGCGCCAAGTATAGACAAGATTGGACTACGGATTGTACACACTTAATGTTAGTTAGTTATTTAGTTAGTTACTTGTATTTTTATTTCTTTAATTCTAAATATCCATTCTTTTTCTCAAAAATAGAGATTTTAGTTAAATATTTACGAAATTATACTTTCACTACGTATAGTACATACTACAGTTCAGTCTTGAAGTAACAGGAAATCCTTATAAGCTATCACGTAAGATAATGAAGGGTAATTAGTAGAAATACGACTAACAGTAACGATAATCAGTTATTAATACCGGTTGATTCTGTGAGTGGTAACTAACAGTGGAATCAAGGACAAGGCGCGTTTCGCCCTGTTTAACGACTCATCAGTTGAATGTACCTGTATTCCCCGGTGAGTGATAGCGTGTTCCCATTGGGCTTCGAGCCTAAAGTGTTATCCACTAGATCACTTGGACTGCTATCACTCATTAGGGAATAGCATTTGTCTCATATCCCCGTCTACTGTTTCTATTTTTCATTTCTTCTACTTTCCTCTCTTGCTTGGTGTGCTACATGAAGGGAGTGTGGCGACTTGAACTGCTGCACATCGGTGCTGTGCAGAGTTCTATGTTGAAAATTGACAGACGGAAGTGTGTTGTAATATGCTACTTTAGACTAAGCGATCATAATTTTCTATATTTTAGAATTAATGAAACTGTCTGTCATTGGTCTAGTTACTCCACTTCCCCAAACACTGGGTCATGCGTACGAACTCTGCTTCAACTGCACAGAGGTTTGGGTAGACAGGCAGGCTGTATCGTTTACCCTTATCGCCAAGACCTTGGGGATGCAAGTAGTAGTGGTTTAACTGACCAATACTTTATTTTTGTCCAATTAAAAATTACAATTCAAACTCTTTGTTAATCGCGTTAGATAGATAGATAGATAGATAGACAATATGATAGACAGCTAATCAATATGATGTGACCTTCTTGTCGCGATGATTGGTTAATTTAATGTAACTCACACCACTGATGTCAGCTCATGATGAAACCCTCCATGCAATCAAACCAAATCCCTACAAAACCAATACTTGCAAATTAATCTGATGCTCACTAGTGACTGGCCCTATTCAGGCAGTTAACCTGGGGTTCTAGTGGGAAGCCGTGACCAGTAGGGTACAGCAGGTCGAAGATGAGGACAGTTACTCACGAAGAAGACATTGCGAAATGGTCGCGCTATGTCGTGAATTGGCAGAAGTTAGAATTCAAGGACCATTGGATCGGGTCCCAGTGGCTCAATGGTCTACGAGCTCGCCTCGTAACCAGAAGGTCCTGGGTTCGAATCCCGTTGGGCGCGTACTGCTGAAGAGTCCCAAACTAGGACGAAACAGCTGTCCAGTACTCCCAGCTGGTTTTCCAGTGGTTCTCTAACTGATGTCAGCTCATGATGAAACCCTCCATGCAATCAAACCAAATCCCTACAAAACCAATACTTGCAAATTAATTAACTGTTCATCATTTTGTCCGTTCCCTCAATACTGTTCGGTACGTTTTTGTCCTTTTTTGAATGACAGTGGATTTGTATATTTTTCTTGGTGTAATTGTATGATTTATTTATTTATGTTTTAGAAACAGATAAAGTTTGATTAAGTCAAGTCATTCTGTTTTTAACTATAGGTTAAGCCAAGACTCTGTGTCGTCAGTATTGAGGAAGGACTAAATCTGTAGGCAAAACTAATCCTACACTCTTACTGGAATTACTAAGAAACGACAGTGTGTTTAAAAATAATTTTTTACCTTATCTAAATTTATTTATTTATCTATTTATTTATTTATAGTTGTGCATTTCCAAACACACCGAAATTTAATACAGTTAAAGGAAAAGGTATAATTGTTTCTGATAAGTGGATTACACAATGTTATGAAACAAAAACTTGTGCACCATGGCGTAGTTATCGTGTTGGTCGAGCTCCTAGTCCACCAAATGCTATTTCTGTACACCCTCCTGCTTCTAATAATTCTGATGATGACAGTCAGTCACCTCCATCAAGGTGAGTCTGTATATCCCCTATTTAAATTTTGTTTTATCTAGAATAAAGAATATTTGTTTTCAAAGAAAAATTACCTTTTTTAATCGTGATATTTGTGATATTTCCTGCTGATAGCTGTTACTTGGACGTCGTAGTTAGGCGTCGAGTGTAAATACGAATGCTAATTTACGATAATGAAGGCTGGATGATTTCCCGGTCAATTATCCCCTGTTCTGAACTAGGAGAAAATCCAGAAGACCCACACGGTAGAGTAGGAAACGTATATTTCCAAAGAAATGAGAGGAAACAGTGACTTTGTTCTATTTTCTGCCGTCCTCTTCTTCTGGGTCCACGATCGCCCGTAATCTCTCATCGCCAAACGATCTCCCCCATTTCACCCTTGCATCGACTATCCACTCAAGCGATGGGCTGCATTGCGTGTGGTGTCATTTGACGGCCTCCTCAATGGCGTGTACCCAGTTCATCTTCATTTTGTCCTATATATTTGTTGACCAATAGTTTCTCGGCTAGTTTACTCCCATAGTTTCTCGTTGCTAATTCTTTTTCTGGCCAGCCGGTCATCTGATCTTCAGTTTGGAGCCATTGAAGGCAGCTGTTGGTTGGTAAAAGTCCGCATTAGTCTGTTAGAAATGGTTTCGGCAAGGTGTACGCCAAGTTTCTGACCCGCATAGAAGAACTGACTTACTTGGCATTAGTACTGAAAATCCAAATCTTGTCCTTTGTGCTGAGTGCAGAAGACTTGCAAACTGACTTCAGATTGACTGACGAAGGTGTATCTTGCCTTTCCGATTTTGGCTGGCTGGCTTTGACATTTTCATCTGTGCATGTGGTTGAAACAATGCTCCCTAGATAAGTGAAGGAAGTAACTACTTTCAAATTTCCCCTATTGATGGTGATTGGTGCTAGTTTTTGTTGTTGTTGGTTGGTTGGTTATCTTCATCACCTCTGTGTTCACCTGCAGTCCTGTCTTCTCTGGCTGTTTCTTCAGTCAGTTTGTTGGTTTTCACCTGCAAGTCTTCAAGTTTGCGTGACATTAAACATAAATCATCCACACGCGAAATTCAGATCTTCTAGAGCTTTCTTATCGGTGATCCAGCGTATTCCCATCTTCTCATTCCCCATGCACTGTCTGATGCATAACCCAGTCCACCACAATTAGGAGTATCATTGGTGATATTAGGCAGCTTTGTCTCTTCATTCTTATTCTCGCTTTCATCAGAGGAAGACACATTGGTTAAAGTGGTTTCCCGAAGGCTTTCGCCAAGCCCGCATCATTCCACTTCTCTGATTCCAGCGAAGAATAATTTTTTTCAAATTTTAGTATTTTTCTTGTGCGTTGAATTTGCTGTAGGAGTTTGATTGATTTTCTAGGGTAGAGTCGCTAGCCCCGCGTCCCACCCTTCCTATTTTCCCGGTCTCGGGACCGGCTAGGAAACTAGCGAGGTGACTTATAATACAAAAACACATGGTATACATTGATCCACTCACAAGGTTGAATAGTAGGCCTTGACTGCATGCTGAACTGTGATTGGTTGGCGCCCATCATGTGACAAATGACTTGTTTTGTCTGACTACAGACTAATGAGACGAAATGTGAGTACATATTAATATCACACTGGCTGGAAATGAGGTTCTTGTAAATCCTAAAATGCTATAAAGATGGTTAGGCTAAAAGTTAGACTAAAAGCAGTTACCGTTATAGTGTTAGGTGTTTACACAATGATACGTGCCTGGAAATGAAGTCGTTCTTCTGGGAAATAGGGATGTAACAGCAGTAAGGCGTTTACCTATGGTGACTAGCACGCCAGTTATGCTGTCTCTTGTTGTACATCCACACTTACCTTGTGGGGTTCCGTAGTCGGTGGTAAGATCTCTATACGGATGCAAATCTACCAATCACTTCTAACTGGCCTTATGCGAGAGGCTTCAGGCAGTTGTTTATTGGGCTCTGTGGTCACCCAGCATTAATGCACTCCTTTTATTTCACGTAATCATCTTCGGTTGGACACCAGTCAGTGACTAGTGTAATGTGTCTATTCTTTTGTTTGGTGCAAACTGAATTCTATCAGTCAAGATTGCCATGTGGCCAGCATTCTAGGTAACCCGCCATCACGGTACACTTTGAATTGTTAATATTAGATGGTTAGAGGCAGTCGGCGGGAAACCCTGCTTTGATCTAGGTTTCGTGCTAGTTGGCACTCACCAGTTAGTCAGCAAGGCGTATCTGCAACCTTGATGGAACCCACGTCTACAGTAGGTCAATCGCGAGCTCAGTGGTGACGTCTCCCTTTGACTTCAGCACTGAGTAACGCTGGTTCGTATCTCAGGAGAGACATGATTACCTTCATGGAACATGAGTGCCAAAGCAGGCACGAAACTTAGGTCCAAGCAGGACATCCTGCTGATCGCCTCCAACCATCTAATATTAACAATTCAAAGGAATCAACTTCGATAGTGTGGATAGCCCATACACTTCAATATAAGCACACTAAGCTTTCTTGATCATCCATCACCTTTTACTGTTTTGTATCTTGTATAACTAAATTACAGATTGACGGGAAACGAAGAGGTTCATTACTTTAGACCTTATAAAACCCCGTCAGCAACTGTGTGACTGTGTTTCATTCTCCTTTCCATTAGTAAAGGTATCTAAAGCGGTGTCTAAATCGTCGTCTCCTATTCTAGGCCAATAGATTCTTGGTTGATTGGCTGCAAGTGTTCATTGTTGCTTATGATTTCTCACTGGTCATCTAATCTTTAGTGTGCAGCGACATTAATGCTGAAAATCCGTTATTCTAAGTGTTAAGTAGATTTCCACGCCGGTGATTTCAGAGTATTGAAGGTCTTTTTTTCTCGCCTCTCATTTAACTGGCTTTGACATCCTCATCTGTGTTTCCCGTATTTGGAATTATACTGTTTAGATAAGTGGAAGAGTTAACTTCCTTCAGATTTCTCTCTTGTTAATGGTCACGCCACACTTGCTCTGTTAATTGACAAATGCATAGTTTTGATAGGACTTCTTCATACTTTATTCGAATACCCTGTAGCACTTAGGTATCCTACTACATTAATAGTAAACAAATCAGGTAAAGTCAATAAATTATTAAACCAAAATTAAATGCTCAGGTCAATAGATAGGCAAAAACATTTTGCTATAAGTATCAGGTTGCATAACTTATTCTTATGAAAATAGTCATTGAAGGTGAAGAATATTTTTTCTATAGTTGGTTTGTAAGGATTAGACTTGCTTTTACGAGTTGATCACGGATTGATATCATTTAGAGAGAACCATTGAAAACCAGCTTGGAGTACTGCCAGACAGCTACTGTTTCCTCTGTCCTATTTCGGGAATCATCGGCAGTACGCCTCCTCCCTCATGGCGTTCGAACCCAGGACTAGTGACGTCCATCCAGTCAGTTGTGAGGATGGAGTTCCCGCCAGTAACATTGGTTGGTGGTCTCGCTAAATCACGAATTGGTAGAAGTTAGAATTCATGCGTTGGCCATCGAATCGGGTCCCAGTGATGGCTGAATGGTATACGAGCCAGCCTGCCTTGTGACAACTGGAAGGTCTTGGGTTCGAACCCCCTGTGGTGGGTGCGTACTGCCGATGAATCCCAAACTAGGACGGAGGAGACAGCAGATGTCTGGCAGTACTCCCAGCTGGTGGTTTTCAATGATTCCCTAACTGATATCATCAATCCATGATCAACTCGTAAAAATAAAGAATACATATATGTATAAGTTAACCTTCAGTGTAAATTTCGTCAAGAACCAACACCAGTTTAGAGATCATTAAAACTCACGGAGTACTGGACAACTGTTTCATATGACACTGAAATCAATCCAAATCCCAGAATCGAAATAACAATCTCCAAGTCATTGATGGCTACTGAACAGATAGATAGATGTCTTGAAGTTGTGTTTTTCGAAAACTTGTGGCTAATGAAGTCCACCATGTAAATGGTGAAGTAGATGTTCATCAAAGGCACACTGGGGAGGGAGGGTAGGACTGTGTCACGAATTGACAGAAGTCGGCATTTACGAGTCATTGAATTCCCTCCCAAGTAGCTGAATTTTTTCAACAAGCTTGGCTGCATAACCTGAAGGTCCTAGATTCGATCCGTGGAGTGGTCATAGGTGAGCCATACTGAAGAGTTCCAGTGTGCTAGGAAACAGCTACTCAATGCTCCCTGGTTTTCAATGACCTCTAGTCACTGTTGGTTCTTGACGATATCTGTATTAAACTTAATCCAAATGCCAACTAAATCAGACATCACTGTGTTTGATGCTTAATTTGGAATCATGCCAGTGTTTTATTGACATTGTTATTTGATCAGGGTTATTCTGTATTTCCTGCTGACTGATTTTCAGCGGACCACCGAAGGAAGGCCTAGACCTCTATTGACGCTTTAGTGATGCTTTGAGATTAATCTAATGTTCATGTATAATCCCCATCCAGACATTAATGAAAACAAAACAAGTAGATCAGCGAAGAGTCTCTTTTCGGCGGCGAATTCATTTACACTTAGCTGTACAATCGCAAATATATATGTTTTATTTTGTATGTATGTGTACAATAAGTTTATCGAACAAAATTACAATTGGTTACGGTTATTTCAACTAAACAGGTGAAGATTGGTAATTGGAGTTACGTAATACAAAATCAGTCAAGAAAATTGGGTGTTAGTGAAATTAGGGTAGTAACAAAGGTGATGAGTTGTCACAAACAGTTGTTAAAAGAAGTTATGTAATAATATGAATAATTTGATGAGTGAGTTTTACTCAGGATGCACATAGGAACAAAGCAGATATTCGAAATTACGTAAGAGTTCTAAATGAATACAAGAATTATAAGCAATTAAAGAACAGGCAAAGCAACAAAATTAAGTCAAAAAAATCAAATCAAAAAAGTTGTTACCAAGACAGTAGAAGTGGTTGAGTTATTCTCTTTTATATGCACAGCTCCGGTTTTTCTATGTGAATGGCCAGAGCTTCAGCGATACAAAGAAGGCGAAACCGTATTGCCTTTGATAGGTTGTTCTTGACTCTGTAGATTACTTTGAAGGAGGCGTTTGTTGAAATGGAATGATCAGTGTTAACCAGATGTTCAATTATCGCACTCCTTATTGCACCACTATTGCCTTTTCGCAACCATGCTGGATAGTGTTCTTGAATCCTCTTGGACAGGGTGCGCGTCGAACGACCGATGTACCTGGCTCCACAGCAGCAGGTGAACTGATATATGCACATAGAAGTGGTCAGATGCGGGATCTTCTCCTTGACTCTTCTGCAGATCAGTGGGCAACTGGAGAACACTATTCTTAGCGTTGCTGCAAAGAATGTTCTTCCCAGAGATGATGTGATCCTTCTGTTGAGAATATCACTTGCTAAATCTCCCTTGAAATCCAGATTCATGTAGAGTTTCTTTTTTGGCGCAATTAAAGTTTCGTTTCTCCGAATTCTTGGTTTGATATATCAACTAACTAACTATAACCAATTGTATTTTTGTTTGACAAACTTAATGTACACATACATACAAAATAAAACATATATGTTTGCGATTGTACAGCTAAGAAAATGAATTCGCCACTGAAAAGAGACTCTTCGCTGATCTTTTACTCTGGTCCATTTATCCATAAGTATTTGAAGATAAACTACTGTTGTGTCGTCTAACTTGACTAGAATTCGCTTCCAGAACGAACACATGACACTATAACCACCGAGTGATCACTTGATATTGTATCTCTCACACTGAGATATACACAAAAGTCAGAGGCGAAACAACGATGACCGGAACGACAGCAAAAACAACAACAGCAACTGCAACAACCTTTGTTAGACAGAAATACATGGTATATTATATTTTACAAAACCTCAGAAATTTAAGCTATAAATAAACAAATCAGAACTGTCAAAATAAGGTTATCATATCAGAACATGGAAAGGATCATGACTTCATAGCTAAGAAAGCAGCTGGTCCATCCTAAGAAATTCTAGTTAAGGAAGTTGTATTCTCATCGTTCTGATGGACTTCTACTTCATCTTTTTCTCCGTGCCTTCACAATGCCAACACTTATAGCTATTTCTGTATTACATCACCCCTATATCATAATGCTTTATATCTGGCTGAATTACATGCAGTATAATGAAGAAGGTGCGTCGGTGGCACGGCGGGAGAATGCTCGCCAGCCATGCAGGTGGTCCGGGGTTCAATCCCCGGCCACTGGCGCACTCCTTTACCTCGCTAAGCCAGTATTTGGACTGGAAAAGAGGGGAGGTTGGGGTGGGGCTTGAGGCTAGCAATACATGTCATAAAATAAAGTGAATCCATTTTGTCTTACTTCAATCGGTATCTTCTCAACTGAATGCAATCTAAATAATAAAATCTAATAGTTCTATATTATAGTTTTAACAATGTCCTTTAACTCATGGAAGATAAAATGTGAAACCATAATTAAGAATAGAAGTTAATTGGTGGATGGTGACTAGCAGTGGAATCCAGGACAACGTGCGTCTCGTCCTATTTGGGACTCGCGCGTCAACTAGTTGGATGTACCTGCATTCAGCAGTCAGTGATGATTTCATCATGAACTGACATCGGTTAGAGAACCGTTGGAAACCACTATAGAATATTGGACAGCTTTTTCGTCCTAGTTTGGGATTCTTTACAGTACTCACCCACCGAGGGGGGGGTCGAACCCAGGACTTATTGGTTACAAGGCGAGCGAGCTCCGTAGACCATTAAGCCACTGGGACCCGAATCAGTTGTTTTGTTTAATTAGCTCCGCGGAATCCTCTAACCGACAAAATTTATTTCTAATTGAGCTTGTGGGTTTGAATGCCAACCCTTGTTTTATTCCTGCCTGCATTGTTAAGAATTCTTCCTAAGGTTTCGGACATCCCCTCTTTGTATGGAAGTACTGACCTCCAAAGCCTCAGGATGGTCGGGGGTGGGTGCCTTGCGCTGCGGGTTGGCCACCCCTCCGCACACCTCTTGAAATGCTCCCATATGACCGGGCGTCTTACATAGCCTCTCCTGAGGAAGTCCTACTCACTGCCTTCACGTGGCAGAGGTGTTTTTCACCAAAGTGAAAGGGCGAAAGCGGACGCCCGGCGCTCTTCACCGGGTTGACTGTCCATTGGATGACAGTCTAGGGGAGATGGCTAAACCCTGATTCCAAACCTCCAACGACTGGCGTATGAAGCTCACTGGAGCTCACCGGCAGACGTATGGACAAAGGGCTTGTTGGATGTCCTGGATGTCTGGCCCAATTCAAAAAGGCGTATGAACCGAACTCCGGTCACCGGTTGCCAATGGATAGTGGACTCCCTACTCCACTCCTACTGCCTTGTAGGTCAGACTTGGTTGTGTAAAGGCTAGAGCTGCACTCTCAAACAAAAGGCCGAGCGATTCTGGGGACATCACTCGTACCAAATTCCCATGAAACTTCATGAACTCTCTTCCAGTGCTGGTCCAACAACGTCGCCTTCGGTGGTTTGGCCATGTTCTGCGCCGACCAGATGACGATCTGGTCAAATCAGTTCTAAATCCCTCGCCATTACCATCTTGGCGTTGTCGTAGGGGTGGACAGCTGAAAACATGGCTTGGTACAGTCAAGGCTGATATGGAGTGCCTGGGGCTACAAACCGTCTACGGACTCCGTCTGTGGAACAAGAATTGGATAACCCTGTCGCAAAACCTTGCATCAGATCGCCGCGCCTTGGCAGAGATGATTCGAGATGTTCATGAAGCCGGCTCATCCTCCCGTAGGAGATAGCCGAAGTAAAGTAAGTATGGAAGTACTACTGATGATTTATATTCCCCATTGTTGGTGTTGTCATTATCCTGTGCATGTTTGACATGCATGTCATTATTATTATTATTATTATCACTATCACTACTATTATTATCAATTTTATTTTTATATTTTCCTACATAATTTCCGACTAATTTATCAGTGTAATTATTAAGTTCCAAAGCTTCTCTTGTATGTCTCATTTCTTGTCTTATATTTTCCTTGGTACTTAGTTTTTTTACCCCATTATTCAAACACTTCACCAATCCTAATTTTACTGACATAGAGTGGGTAGGATGATCGGAAATCTAAATATCGGTTTCAATGTGTGGGTTTCCTGTAAACACTGTTTAACCTCCCATCTTCTTTCCTTTTTATGCTACCTTTGCTAACATTGGAAGCTCCTTCGCTAACTTTTCGATGCATAAGTGAATTGAATTACCTCTAACGGGAGAATAACTTCCATTATATGCTCTTTTCAATGGTGATGCGTGGAGTTGCTATTTGTTCAGCATATAATTTCCCTTTCCTGAATCCAGCTTTTTCAGGACGGAGTTCTTCATCCAGTGTATTTTTCAGTCTCTCCACAATGACGAGAATTGATATTTTGCTTGGCGTAGACAACAGCATGGTTCCGTGCCCGTTCTTGCAGAGTTGTAAGTCACCTATCTCTGGTAGTTTGATAAGGTGACCAGTTAGTAAGTACCTTTCTCCCCTTCCAAACTTATCACAATAGTGACGTCTGCATATGTACTATTGTCTCTGGATCTGTTTTTGGCACTTCGGGAACAATTCCATCCAGTCCCGCTACCTTCTTGGCCTTCAGTAGCTTGATTGCACCCAAAGATTCTGCCTTTGTTGGAGGATTGGTATCCACTGGTAGACAGTTGTGTACGTTCTGTCTGTGGTATTTCAGGGCGAGTGGCAGGTGATGGTCAATCCAGGAGTCCTTTGAAGTGATCCGCCCATTGTTTTATTTGTTTTTCATCTTGGGTAATTAGGTTCCCTTGACCATGTTTCGTTGGTTTCATCTGTGTTGATATCTTCCTAGATAGAGACCTGGTTATCTGGTTTAATGTTTGGAGGTCTCTTTTGCCTGTGAGACCTCCAAAATATATCTCCAATGAACTAAAGGGATTTGTTAAAACTGTAGTAGAACTGTTAAATCTCATTATTTAGGTTGCATTCGAATTCACTAAGCGACGCTGTTGTCAGGAGAATAACATATTAACCTTCATTTTGTATTTTTTTGTCTTTTTATTTCACTCACTTGTCAGGTCAACACAACGTGTACCAAATTTAAGAATGAGTAAGTGATTTGTTCATTCTTTTTTCAGATTAAAATTAGAAAATATTTTTATTTTAAAATAATAGTTATTATCGACCGAAACTAGAATTCATAAGTTATTGAATACCAACCTAACAGGTGAATAGTCAACGGGCTAGCCTCGTAACCTAAAAGTCTTGTGTTGGATTCCTGACGGGCTAAAAAGTTCCCAATTCTGACAAAATAGTTGTCCAGTGCTCCTAGTTTTCCAGTTATTCCCTCTCTCTCTGACTGATCTAAGTTCTTGACAAAATCACTGTATTTCTAGCAAGCTGGATTATCCCTTACATTTAACTAAGTTGAGAAGAAAATTCACTCACTACATTAATTAAAAATATAGATTACAGACTAATGTCCTCTTGAGCAAGCCTTACTATTATCAAAAGTTAAGTGATTCGATTGTATGAATAAATAATTGAATAATTATGAAGTGTGTGTGTGACCAGAGAGGTAAACTATAAATCCATATCTTCAACTCTCGTAAGTGTAGGCTTGATCACACACATTTTGACGGTCTGACTTTACTATTTATGATTTAAATCGTTCAAAAACGTTTAGGCTACTTAAATAGTTATAAGTAGTCAACACATTTTGATGAAAATATTCAATGGTTGGGTTTACATAAGAAAATGTTTATAAAAGCACCAATTACGTAATAAATATTAGTTATTATTAGCATAGGAGTGCGCCAAATCTTTATAAACCTTATCTAGCAGCTATATCATGATGCCATATGCAAAGTGATTCAAAACGGAAAGCACATTGAACTCTTTGAAGTGAAGATGAGAGTGAGGATAAGACTACCCTACTGTCACCGATGATATTCCTGATTGTTGTGAACTGGATCATGAGATGGACTATGGGTAGCGGGAAGAAGAAACTGGGAGATTTGAACTTCCCGGATGATACATGTTTTAATACAACACAAACACGAAGATTTACAGACGAAAACCAATAAGTCGGTAGAAGTAGCGAAGACAGAGGTGATCAAGATAACCAACTAATCAATAAAAGCGAGTATCAATCACCATGAAACGGAGAAATCGAAATGAAGTCAACCCTTTCAGTTGTCTAGGCCCGATATCGTTTCAGCTACAGGTCGTGTCAAATATCCAGATCGCTGAGATCCTGGACCTATCGTTGGTTCCAGACGATTAAGCCAAATACGTAGGACACTATGACATGTAACCGACGCGGAACACCAGAAAACGGTTGGACAACACGATTGTTTTTTCTTCAAGCGATAATGAAACAGATTTACGGTGGTTAATCAGCGCCAAAGTCTACATTATATTATTATTATTGTTCCCTTGGGTTCCTAGTGGAACATAGGGCTTCAACTGCACGTCTCCACTTGCTTCTGTCTTCTGCTGTACTTTTCACATGCATCCATGTTAGTCCATACTGTTTCAACTCCTCTTCACACGATCTCCTCCATGTCACCCTTGCACTGACGTCCCACTCGCCGCTTCCCTTTCGGGTTCCAATCGAGCACTGGCCTGACGCGCGATGTCACCCAGCGGCCTCCTCAGCGAGTGTCCAATCCATCTCCACTTTCTCCTGCATATTTGTTGGTTGATTGGTTCTTGTTTTGTTTGTTCCCATAGTTTCTTGTTGGTGATTCTTTCCAGCCATCTGATCTTCAGTATAGAACGAAGACAGTTGTTGATAAAGGTCTGCAACAGGCTGTTGGAAATGTTCTTTGTGACCCGCCAAGTTTCTGATCCGTATAGAAGAACTGACTGACTTGACGTTTGTATTGGAAATCCGAATTTTGTTGTTGATGCTGAGTGACGAAGATTTCCAGATTGATTTCAGGTTGATGAATGTGTTTCTCGCCTTCCCGATTCTCGATTTGACATCCTCGTCCGTTCCATGTGCCTGTAGTTGAGACAATGCTCCCTAGATAATTAAGTGAATGAAGTAACCTCTTTCAAATCCCTCCCGTTGATGGTGATTGGCGGTGGATGTTGCCGCTGTTGTTGTTGTTGGTTGTTTATTTTCATAACCTCCGTCTTGTCTATGTTCACCTGGAGTCCTTCCTGTCTTTGCTTCTTCTTCGACCAGTTTGTCGGTCGGTTTTCGCTTATAAGTCTTCGATTTTGTGTGACATCAAACATCAATCATCCACGCGCGAAATCCAGGTCTTCTAGGTTCTTCAGGTGGGTCCAGGATATCCCTGTCTTCTCGTTTCCCTGCTGTCTGTAAATAAACGTTAATATAAGATAGAACAATAATCCTGATCGTATTTCGCGTATCTTCTGCCAACTAGTACACACAATTAAGTGATGACAGCCGCCTTGTCTCCCGCGAAATGTAGACCAGTTCGAGCAAACAAACAGTCATCCACTTGTAGTTCATGTGACTGACAGTCTTGGTTGTTAGTTTTTCTTCGGCCTAGTTAATCCGTGATGCATTTTTCTATAGATATACTTTAATTATTATTATTATTTTATATCAGGAGGTGGCAGACAAAACACAAGTGATGATGAATGGAATCCAAATTCTTCGGATGAAAATCCCGATAATGATGATGATGACGATGAAGAATGGGACGAAGCAGAAGAAGAAGATGAAGAAGACGGAGAGGCGGAAGACGACAATGATGATGACGAGGTGGATTCTTCTGACGAACTTGGCAGTAGGAGAAGAAGAAAGCGTAAGCGTGCAACTGAGAAAAGTCAGTCAGCGATAAAAAGACATCGTTCCACTGGTGGAAATGATGCTCCCAGTAAAGCCAAACGACCTGGTAATTGAAATTTAATCGTTTCAACTGTTCTATAAAAGAAAGGAAAGCATTTATTTTCTGAAAAATATCAAAAATCAGCTTTCTTAAAGATGTTATTATTATTAATATTAACGCTGTTCAATATATCACAGAGATTTTGTTCCGCCACCCTTGGTTTTTGATATCAACTCGAAAATTCCACACACACTCACACACACATATATGTATTACTTTCTGTACATATGTCTTTTTACCTGCGTATATGTGTGCAGAAGTTCTCATAGGATTGATCACTAACTGACTTCAGTCGGAAAACCTTCAGAGAGTACTGGATAGTTGTTTCGTCCTGGCGTGGGACTCTTCAACAGCACTCTTGAATGACTCAACCAGCAATTAAATCCGAGACCTTTAGGTTAAGAGGTCAGTCCGTTGACCATTCGGCTTCTGGGGCAGAATCCTATGGTCCATGAATTCAGTCATATCCCTGCAAACCAACATTTAAAGTTTTTCATACTCCACTTTTGTTGAAATGTCAATAATGCGTGTTAAAAAAAAATCGAAAAAAGGTTAACCTTTCATTTATGCTACAGTTTCCTTCTATAGTCTTGAGGTTTTGGGCGATGACCATAGATGTTTGTCTTTTGTCTCCCGTGTCAAGTGATATAGTCTGATGAGTCATATTGAGATTAGGCGAAAAGTGCTAGGTCAGGAAGGGGAAAGTCAGTAGATTAAAAAGACTATGACACGTGATGAAAAAATAACAAGCCACAGCTTTCCTCGTCGAGCTATGTTAGCTGACATAGAATTAGGTGTGTTGAATTCAAAAAATTTGAAATCATCCATGCAGTCATTAAGAGTTGGTCTAAGCTAGGAATATACGTAGGCAAGCGTAGACTGCGGAGTTAGTCAGGAGGGGCCTTGGAATTGAAAGAACTAATGACCCCTGCGACTGTTGGTGATATGACTCAAAGATCTTGGACGCTGTAAATTATTCTTCACATTATTATTATTCCTTTGGGTTCTGAGTGAAATGTCGGTGGCACAGCGGTCAGGACTCCCGCCGACTATGCAAATGGTCCAGGGTTCGATCCCCTGCCGACCTACACCTGATATCAATTGGTCGGCCTGCAAAATTTGGGCTACCGGGATCACATGCTGAAAATTCTATACCTGTACTATATAGCTAAAAATTGGAAAAATAGGCTTTGTTACATATTTTTCTTGCGCATTGAAGTTGCCGTAGCAGTTTGATTGATTTTGTAGCTTGTGGGATCGCTAGCCTCACTCACGCGCAACACTCCTTTTTTTCCCGGACTTGAGACTGGTTAGAAAACTAGTGAGCTGGTTAACTAGGCGAAGTTATTCTCTTTTTTTTATTTATTATAGCTTGATTCCACACAGTATCTTTTTTGTACAACTATAGAATTTTCAGCATGTGATATCCTTAGCCCAAATTTAGGCTAGGAGGAGGGAGTGTGGCAACTGGAACTGCCTAAGCATCTGTGCAAATTTTTTTGCTTTGAAACTAACCAGCATCCAGACATCTCAGTCAATCTGTAGGTATATTGTTTTACGCAATTGTACTTGCTATCCTGATAACCATTTAAGGTATCAAGCAGATTACATGCTTTTTGTGATCTGAATGATGGTGTAAATTACGCATAACGATAGATATCCAAATTTACTTCAGTGAATTATAATGAGATTTATTCTGAAATAGTATTGTAACGGCAGAAGACAAGGGCCAGGCAACAGATAGTTTATTGAGAAAATCAACAGATATTTATAGATTTTTATGTACATTATTATTGGCGTTATTATGAGTAGAGTAACAACGTCTTCTGATTGATCGTTTTCTCGCTGAAGGTTATTCTGTCATCTCTTCGTAGCCGTTTCTTTGAAGGTCAGACCATATATATATCTGCGAATCGTATCCGCCCACGCTAAGTTTGCCGTGATTGGTTGTTAATTCCCTCAAGGTTAGGCTTTGTTCTTTTCTCATGACCCCGATTTGGGACGTAAACATTGACCTAAATGGTTGTCTACCAATTTTGGCTAGCAGACAGCTCTCACCACAATACTGCTCCAAATTGTGTCTTATCTATGCGCACTATGTAAAAATCCAGCTTAAAATCATACAGCTGGTTAGTACTCCGTAATTGTTATATTTTTCTCTACCTGGTGTTGGATACTGTGATGAAAAGTAAATTTATTGTGGTGGTGGTGGTGTCGGCGGCCACTCACATTCAAATTGGTGAAAGTTTTACGTCACATGTAAGCTGAATGACCAATATGCTTGACCTCGTAACTTGAAGTTTGCAGGGTTCAACCCATGCTGGGGTGGGTCGTGAGTGTGTAAACTCCTACAGCACCTATCCAGTACTCTCTGGATGCCAACGGTTCTCTAGCTGATTTCAATCCGTGATGTCTTTGCAGTCAAATATATGTACACAATTGGTTACAGGATTTCAATACGAGCTGACATCGGCTAGAGAACCATTGGAAAACCAACTGGGAGTACTGGACAGCTGTTTCTTCAGCCTAGTTTGGACTTCCTCACAGTACGCGCTATGTCGTGAATTGGCCGACTTTAGAATTCATGCACTGGCCATTTGACAGGGTCCCAGTGAGTAGCTTAATGGTCTGAGAGCTCGCCTTGTAAGCAGAAGATCGTGGGTTCGACCCCTGGTGGTGGGTGGGTACTGATGAAGAGTCCCAAACAGCTGTTCAGTACTCCCAGTTGGTTTGCCAGTGGTTCTCTAACCGATGTCAGCTCATGATGAAATCCTGTAACCAATCAATCAAATTTCCACAAACCAATACTTTAAAATATGTACATAATATTAAAGCAGTGACTGTCATTGAAGTTTCTTATTTCAATCATATCGAATTGTTAGTGATCGTTAAAAGAATTACAGTGCAAAAGCATCTGTAAGCGAGATAATATGCATAAAAATATACTACTAAACTGTGCGTCGGTGGCACAGCGGTTAGGACGCTCGACGACCATGCACATGGTCCGGGGTTCGATCCTCGGCCGACACACTCCTTTACCTTGCTAAGCCAGAAATAATGCTGGTAAAGAGGAAAGGTTGGGCATGAGGCTAGCAACCTTATCCTGTAAAATTAACCACCGCTACAGAAACTTCAAGCCACTAGCTTGAAGCCCTATGTTCCACTGGGAACGTGAAGGAAAAAAAATACTACTAAACTGAGCATGCGAATAAAGAATTAAGAAGAATATTTATTCGACAGTCGAATATAGTCAAAGCATTGATGATTACGGTAAGGAGGGAAAGCGCTTATACTAATTTCTTCTGAACACACATTTCGCCTTGTTCAGGTGGATTCCTATAGCTTTTTCAGATATTTATAAAAGTAAAAGGTTAGCCTCTGGAATACGCTAGATAACTTTATATACCTGACCTTTTGTTCAATATCTACAAGGTGAGTTAAAACAAAACTGCACGAATAGCCCTTGTTTGTCAATGTTGTCAATAACAATAATAATATTACTGAATTCAATTTTAAATTTTCCCGCCGATTAGACTGAACCGAAGTGCTCAGTCTCCGGTTGACATGTCTGTCGGCTTCTTGTGCAGATGTTTCGACGATGTCTGTGCATGTAATTAGAAGTTAATTGGTGGTGGATGCTGACTAGCAATGAAATCTAGGACAACGCGAATTTCGTCCTATTCGGGACTCACCAGTCAGCTGGATGTGCCTGCATTCCTCAGTGAGTGATGGTGTTTCCACTGAGGCTCGAACCCAGTGCCGGGATGCGCATCATGGATTCCACTGCTAGTCACCATCCGTCAATTGACTTCAAATAATAATTACTCTCTAAATATTGTGTATATATAACTATACACTATCTGACTGACTGGTTTCAACATAGAACTTTGCACCGATGTGCATCAGTTCGAGTCATCACGCTTCACTCAGCACACAAAGCAAGAGAAGAAAGTAAAAAAATGCGAAATAGAGACAGTTAAGAGAGACATGAGGCAAAAGGAATAGCAATATGGAAGAGTAATATGGTTTGATTGGAAATTATAGGTCACAAGGAGTGGATGCATCTGCACCAGCCATTGACAACGATTTTTAGGGATACCACCAATTTTTTTCAGCCTTCATTGGTGCTTACTTTCCTGATGACCCCAACCAGGAAGTGTACACTTTCCTACGTGACTGGCTAGCTGGCTGACTTAAACTAACTGTTGTGGATTTCATTGACTGATGAACTCATGTTTTGGTTTGACCACCCCTGGCTCTTTTCCAACTTGATCGATCCTATCTCAGCTAACCTTGCCCGTTGTTGAGGAAGGCGATGGATGGCTAGGCATGCGTAACACATTTCCTAACTACCTCAATCGGTGTGACTTCACAACCTTGTCTATTGATTTCCCCTCCTTACCAAGCACTTGACTGGCGCCTAACCTCAATATTGCTCATCTTATTATACCACTTTACACAGGAAGTAGAATGCAGACACCTATGATCAAAGACAGCTAGACAAGTTTTTCATGTCTTCCACTCTCAATGGCCATGTCTCAAACATAGTGATAAAGGAGGACGGAGCGGACTGTTGAGCAGTACACACGTCCTTTGATCGACAGCCAGTCGAATATCACGTCTACTAAGCCAGAGACGGCGTAAACTGGCATAGGCGAAACTAGTCCTCTGTATCCATGCTGAGATTTCGTCAGCGATCAATCCGTCGGTGTTGGCTTATGCAACTTCTTAAATTAGTGATATGATCAACAGGCTCCACCACCCATTCTACTCCTGCCTATCTTTAGGCTAGTAGTCGATGTAGTTCAGTCCTAGAAGATTGATGCTCTTCAAGGAATGCAGAAGACTCTGCATTTTGTCTTCACCTAGAAGGACTGCATAGTTTGTATATTCCAAATAAATTATACAGCCAAATGACGAGGTCATCGAAAGGAATATTCCTTGCTCAGTCTTCTCTTCTTGCCTTCTAAATGTCTGAATAGGTATTTTCGTTACTTTTCTATGTTACTAGTTTAGACTCCGTGTATTAATTCCTTCTATCACAATTATATAATACATTTACTCACATACTAGACATTGTCTGATTTGTCACCTGTCTATTTCATCGTAACATTAGTGTCCCATTAAGGAGTCTTTCATTCAATTAGCCGTTCGATGTATATTGTACTTCTGAAGTCATCATCTTCTAACTATTTGATTGATGGTAGCTAGAAGTGGTTTTCAGGAATTGTGTTTCGTCCTATTCGGCACTCGTCGTTCGTGCCTGTTTCATGTGAATGATGGGGTTCCCACTGGGATTCGAATGTAGCATTCATCCAAATTTCAACAACTAATAACTTATACCTGGCCTAGTCGGTAACGACTTAGCGTTTAAATTGATGGGCTATGGTTTTTTAGGTCACACTAGGAACACCATCAGTCACCTGAGTTTCATGTACACTCAGTGACGAGTTCTACATAGGACGAAATCTGTCTACTGGATTTTACTGCTAGATACTACCACTTAAATAACATTATGTTAACCTAAAGGCCTCAGCTAAGGAGCCGCTGAAGACTGGGTGGTACTCGACAGCTATGTCGTCGTCCTTGTTTGGGATTCTTCAGTATTACGAACTCATGACCACCTCAATGGGGTTCGAACCCAATACCTTCAAAACTACATGGCGAATTCTCATACCATTCAGTCATTGGCATAGTATCCAATGGCCGACCGATTTTAACTTCTGCCAGTTAGCGATATATATGTATCGCGACCGCCAGCCAATGTTATCGGCGAGTTCCTATTCCAGGTAACTAAGTGTCCATTATGGATAAGATTTTATTTGGATAAGTCACATAGTGTTGTACAGTTAAATTAACTGACGACGTTTCCAGCACAATTTATTACTGCTCATAATCATATACAGTCACTCACTCACACAACTATCTCGCTTCATTTATATACACGAGTGGAATTGATGATATAAGACATTTGAATAAAAATCAACCAATATAGGATAATGTACATTCAGAAATAATAATAATATGAGTGTTATTGATCAAACACAATCAGATGGGAAATAAGACGAGTGTTTTTATAGTCAAAATCAATAAGTAACTTGTTATAATGTACGTGAATTGAATTGAAATATAATACAATTTAAGATTATTTATTATCCTGTTCTGATTTCACTGACTGACTGACTGGTGGTAATAATATCTTCCATGCATATCTCTGGTATTTGCATTGAGTCATTTCTGTTGCATGTGTTAGGTGTAGACTCGATGAACCAGGCAGGATTCAGTAATCAACCACCCTCTCTCTCCACCTACATAGATTACTTCTTAGAATTTTAACCCTCTTCCACCCTATTGTGTGATTGTGCGTTAATGCATATAGTGCAATTGCTGAGCTTTTTCCTAAATTACTTATCTCTTCGCGGTCAACCATTCTTACCTTAGCCAAATTCTTATGTTCTGACAATCTGACTACCCCGGCCCGATCTACTAGTTTGACCTATATAGTTGACCTCACAGTCATTGCAGGGTATTTTGTAAATTATATTATTTTGTTTTATTGGGTCCACCGAGTCTCTTAGCCTACAGAGCTTGTCTCTGAATGAGTTTGTAGGTTTGAATGCCACCACTCTAATTCCTGCTTTATTAAGAATTCCACGTATGGTCTTTTTTCCCATCTGATTCTAATTGATCAATAACACTCATATTATTATTTCGAAATTTACATTATCCTATATTAGTAGATTTTTATTCAAATGTCTAATCATCAATTCCACTCATGTATATAAATGAAGGAAAAAGCCGTGTGAGTAACTTGACATGATTATGAGTGGCAATAGTTTGTGCTCAAAACGTGATCATCAGTAAATATTACTACTGTATAACAACACTGTGTGATTTATCAAAATAAAATCTTATCCATAATGGAGTTATACTCTACCACAGTGCCCAAGTTGTGTACTTATATCAATAACTAAGTGTCCAAATAGAAAAAACCTTTAAATGCTTTGCATTCTGCGTAGGTGGCTCAGTAGTACAATAGCCACCAGCCACACAGAAGGTCTTAGTTCAATTCCCGTCTGACATTCTTAAACCTCGCTTACTTTACTAGCTAGAGCCGGTACTAAATCCAGGAAAACAAAAGAGAGAAGGTTTAGTGTACGAGGAGGCTAGCAAAGACCCACCGCTTGATGAAAACAGGGACAACACCATAGCTACTACTACCAGAAGCTTCAAAGCTTCCTATCCCTTTGCTTCATTCGGAACATAAAGGATTTAAAAAGAAAGAAGTTAGGCTGCATATTTAGTCAAAACTATGCTTATAATTCAGATTGTTTCTGTTGTGGTTATATTCTCTTAGCTTGATAATTTACTACGAAGTTTTCGTTGTCCTTCTAGACAACCACTTCAGCGCAGGCATCAATATGAAGTGAATTTTTTTTGCAATTCTCCATGAGTCATATTAAATTGCATCATCTCCTGACAATCATTATCATGATTGGTTGTTAATTTGCCATTTTTTTTAATGGTCACTTTTGGTGACTTGGAATTTTTGAATCTTCTTGTCATATGGCCTTTTTCCTTTATTATCAAGTATTGGTTTGTTGGGATTTTGTTTGTTTGATTGATTGGAGGATTTCATCCAGAACTGACATCGGTTAGAAAACAATTGAAAAACCGACTGGGAGGAGTACTGGACAGTTGTTTTCTCCTAGTTTGGGTGCGTAGTGTTGAAGAGTCCCGACTAGGCTGACGAAACAGCTGTCCTGTACTCCCAGTTGGTTTTCCAATTTTTCTTTATTAGTTGACACATCTGATCTATAATTATTTTTCTGTTAATCGCTGATTCATCTGATGAGTGCCAACCAGGCTTCAGTGTTTCTACATTACCCCATCAAATTGTTCTCTGTAATTGTCTATAGGCATCGTTATGACAGAATACATATCGTGTCTTTTGACAGTTAGTTTATGTTCTTGCAGTTAGAGTCGAAAGAATCTCCCACTTTGGCGCCAATGTACTGTTTACCACAGTTTATTTAATTTATTGTGTAGGTGGTGTTGTAGGGTCTTTTAAGGTCACAGTGAGAAAAATAGACATCACAGTAAAGTGACCTTGAAACAACCAATCAGATCGCTCAACATTACAGATGCATACTTTTCATAATATTTCTCGCAAGTTTCACCTTGATTCAAGGTCAAGGTTGTGATAGGATTAACGTTAGTGTGGATTTTTGTAACGAAGATTATGAAAAGCATTCATTTGTAACGCTGATCGATCTGATTGGTTGCTTCAAGTTCACTAGACCTGTGGTGTCTATTCTTCACTAATTACTGCTTGTGTTGAAGATATTGTCTACAGAGACAATGAAAGCCTCGCAGTTAACTTTTACCCACCTCGAAGAACTCAACCACATCAAAATCATCCCCTACCACCCCCCTCTGAGATACAAATCGTCTCTACTATTTTAAGATTGTTTGCTATTTTACCTAATTTTAACGTAAAGTAGTAATAATAATAATAATCTGGCCTTTGTGTAATAGAATTCTCAGAAAAAGTGGGATTAGTCAACCGGCACATTGTATATTGATTGTTAGTCCTATGGTAACGAGTGAAGACAATGACCAGGTAACAGATCGTTTATTGAAAAAATCAACAGATATTTATAGATTTTTATGTACATTTTTATTAGCGTTATTGTTAGCAGAGAAGCAGCGTCTTCTGATTGGTTGTTTTCTTGCTGAAGGTTTTTGTTTACTGCTTGTGACCATTTCTTAGAATGTTAAGCCATATATCTGAGAATCGTATCCGCCCACGCATAGCCTCAAGTTCCTCAAGATTAAGCTTTGTAATTGTGTTTTTTCTCATGAGCCCGATTCGGGACGTAAACATTGACGTGAATTGGATGGAGGATTTCATCATGAGCTGATATCAATTAGAGAACCACTGGAAAACCTGGGAATACTGGACAGCTGTTTCATCTCACTTGTTTGACACTATGCAGCAGTACGCATCCACCGAGGTTCGAACCCAGGATCTTCTGGTTACAAGGATAGCGAGCTCGTAGACTATTAAGCCACTGGGACCTGATCCAATGGCTAGTCAGTCCATGAATTCTAACTGCTGCCAGTTCATGACATAGCGTGACCACTTCGCGATTTCTTCTTCGATGAGTTACTGCTTCATCTTTACTCCTGACACCACTTTGTGCGTCGGTGGCACAGTGGTTAGGACTCTCGCCGACCACGCACATGGTCCGGGGTTCGATCCCCTGCCGACGCACACCCGATATCTATGGTCGGCCTGAAAAATTTGGGCTACCGATATCCATGCTGAAAATTCCATAGTTGTACTGAAAATACGGTGTGGAATCCAGCTGTAATCAAAAAATAAAATAAACGTGCTGTACCCTTCTTGTCACGGCTACCCACTAGAACCTCAAGTCATTGACCAAACAGACCCAGTCGCTAGTGAGCATCAGATTAATTTTCTAGTATTGGTTTTGTAGGGATTTTGTTTGATTGGTTGGAGGATTTCATCATGAGCTGACATCAGTTGTCTACAATTGTCTACAATTTCGGCTAGTAGACAGCGCTCACCACACTATAAGTGAAACGCATTTGTGTCCAGATCTCATACTTGTCTTCTGGTCACTATGAATTGTAGTGATTCTATTCATGTGAACACATATACATGCATCTATCATATGCATTCATATTAGAGACGGTACTATTTTTTTATTATCCTTATATTCTAGTCTAACTTTCCCATGTCTGTTTGTCTGTCTTCTTATTCTTTTGGTTTCAATTTATTTTTCAGCGAGAACTAATAGCCCAGAGAACGAGGATACAGACGATGAAATTCAAAGGTTTGTCTATACTTTTTCTCTTTTTGTTCTTCTTCTCTATCTCTTTTGTATTTTATTTTGCTGATATTAAGGAAGGAGATTTGTTGTTGTTGTTCTCCTTGGTGTTCAGATTGGAACACGGTAGAAGGCGAAAGACTTGGTAAAGGAATGCTTAACTTGCGATTTGGTATCTGTATATATTGCCAAATTATGTCACACCTTTTTATATGTAAAATATTTTATTTCTCTTGTTGCGTAACTCTAACGAACTTATTCAACGCCTCGTATTCCTTCACTAATATTAGCATCATCATGGCAAATGGTATATAATTGGGATTGTACAGATAAAGGGAAAACTGAATTCGCCTAAAAGAGCCTCTTCACTGTGAACAGCGTGTTTTGTTTTCACCTAAAGACAATTTTTGAAAAGGTTAGAAGTGATGGTAATATCTAGGCGACTGAATAATCAGCGTATGTTCCTGTAGTCTGATTCTTCATTGTCAAAATTGTTGGTATATATATATATATATATATATATATATATCGGATTATTTCTACCCGTTATCTAGTTCATTTGTAATTTCATGCATTAAATGACATATTTTTTCCAAAAGTATTCCAATGTCTACTTACAAATGCATTTAAGTAGTTTAAGTAATCTAGCAGAAAATCTGCCATCCATAGGTTTTGTAGCTTTGCATGAGACTTCCTTTTTTCAAAATTGTTACAAACTTAAAGTATGATTGATTGATTTGATGCAAACTACATATGCCTTGTGGTTTAAGCATACATAAATCAGCCCTTCATTTGATTTTATATTACTTTACGAGACAAATATTCTGTTTCTTAACATTTGTAAAACTTGGGCATCCATAGGAGGAGAGAACCTCTGAAACCTTACGTAGAATTCTTAACTAAACAGTAATAAAAGTGGTACTCAAACCCACAAATGTATTTAGAAACATTCTGTGTCGGTTAAAATATCCTGTGGAGCCCATTAAACAAAATAATTTCATTTATCTAATATCCTGCAGTATGATTGTCAGGTCAAACAGTAAGACAGGGTCAATCTGACTAGTCGAGTACAGAAACTGAGAAAAATCTCGGTTAGTTGACGCTGATATAATTAGAAATCTGAGGAATACCTCAGCTATAGCAGTACATCCAAATACATGTAACTATACAACGACAGTTTTAAAATCTGATATAACAGGGTTGTACGTCGGTGGCACAGCGGTTAGGATGCTCACCGATCATGCACATGGTTCGGGTTTCGATCCTCTACCGACACACTCCTTTACCTCGCTTAGCCAGGAATAAAGCTGGTAAATAGGAAAGGTTGGGAATGAGGCTAACAACCCCATCCTGTTAAAATAAACACCACTGCTACCGAAACTTCAAGCCTCTAGCTTGAAGCCCTATGTTCTACTGGGACGTGAAGGAATAAAAAAAATAACAGGGTTGGGTGGGGGTGGCATGTTAGTTTGATAACGGAAGCTTTACTAATGGGATCAACTCAAAATACATCCAGTAGAGAAGATTTTATATTTCTCACAGTCACCCGGAAAATCCTACTGCTTCAGCGACAAGTGAAAAGGAAAAACTTTGGGGAGGGATGTTTCAAGATTGATTAAAAGAGTTTATCTTATATACATGCATCATGGATAATTTTCCCATAATTAAGTTTATAACTCACTGTACTGCTTCTCTTTTTTCACCCTGTGTACACAATCGACTTTGAGACTGTTAGATAACTGGATTAAAACAAGCCAACTGGTCCCCTTGATATATGCGAATATTTGCCTTCTTATGTTCTGATTGGATGTGTTCATATGTGCTCTGTTTTTATTGTTGGTGGTCAGCGAAGATCTATAGCGCACGTGGATGATTTTGATGCGGTTTTCCTTTGTGAGCTGGGTGATTTAACTGGCGAAGCTCTCACTTTCTCTCTGTAGACAACAACTTCACCGAAAACTTCAGTATGCAGTAAAGTTATTTAAATTCTCTATGAGTGATAGATTTGTATCTCCTGATAACATTTGTTCTGATTAATTATCAGTCTAACTTCAACAACACCCAGCACCAAACACCATCAAAGGGGGAAATTTAATAGAGGTCACTTCCTGCCTTCACTTATCCACCCAGGGAGCATCGTTTCAACTACAGACCAGTGGAATGGATGAAAATGTCAAAGCTAGTCAGCCAGAATCGGGTAGGTAAGATACGCCTTCATCAACCTGAAACCAGTTTGGAAATCTTCTACACTCAACATAAGGAACAAATGTGAAGTAGGTCCTTCTATACGGGTCAGAAACTTGGCCAGCGTGTAACGAAAAGCATTTCCAACAGCCTGTTACAGACTTTCATCAACAGCTACCTTCTCTGGCTCCATATTGAAGACCAAATGCCCAGAAGGAATAAGTAACAAGAAACTGTGGGAACAAAGGAACCAAAAGCCGATCGCTCAACAAATATGTAGGAGAAAACGGAGATGGATCGGGCAAACATTAGGAAGGCTGTTGAATGATATCGCGCGCAATGCACGCCACTGCTCGAGTGGAATCCGAATGGGAAGCGGAAATCCCCCGGGGATTTTTGGCATTTCCACTTTTTGAAATTTCTACATTCCCCCAGTCAAATTGGCTTCCCTAGTCGTCTACAAGCATCGATACGAAAGAATATATGTCCTATCTGTTCACAGTTAGTTCATGTTCCTGGAGTTGCGTAAAACTGTTACATAGGGTATCTTTCTCTAACATGTGACAGAAACATCTCGTTTAGGATAGGAGTGTCAATAGAAAAGTTACACCACATCCTATACATATATTAATCCAAGTGACTATAAATGAGATCCTTTTGAAATCCACTTATAGCCCTAATCCTATTTTTTAATCTTTCTCAAAATCCTTCTATGAAATTCGTCTTTGTGTAGCCTGTAATGGGATCCACAAAACCACTAGAACGGTTCACTCTGTGATGAATATATCCAAAGGATGACAGCGAGTTATAACCTTTCTATTCATCAGTATGTGCTATAGATCCCTGTTTCACCAGTCGAGTGACAATAGGTACTAAGGTAGTCTGTCTGGTATTCTCTCCACGAATCCTTTCAGCAGGGAGGTGTTGTATAAACCGATCACCCAAACATTTTTGGCTCGCCCACGACCACCGTTGTATTTTTTCTTCAATAAGACAGTTTCATCCATGTGTACTATAACACCTGTTCCGCCTAACAAGTAAGTTATTCTCTCCACTTCCCATGAGTCGATATCTCTGCATTGCTGGGTACCACTGAACTGTTGAGACGAGGCTATTTTCAGTTTCAGCAGCTGCGCCTCTCACAGGCTGTTTTAAAACCCAGTAGTTACAAATATACAAAATCTGGGTTAGGGAGAAATGCGACCTAGCAAAAAATGTTCCTACGAAACATTAAAATCATCAGCTTACCTTCTCTAATACTAACTCGTCTCAAACAAATTGCACAACGATGGAAATATCCATCAATCGACCTGCTAAAGCTTTTTTTAAACTCATGACACTTTCACATGAATAAATCCTCTCCTTCCTAAGCAAACCCAAATCTAGGCAATACTGCAAAACTTTATTCTCATCGAACTGTAAGCGTAACTTCGTTAGAGCACGTATTCGATACGAATCAAGCGGAATACAACCTTGAAGTCACGTACGTGAACCTCAATGGACCATTCGAGGTCATTCGCTGATTGGTAGTTAGTGGTGCTTAAAGTGTTTAACTTGGTTTACAGGATTTCATAATGAGCTGACATCGGTCAGAGAACCGTTGAAAAACTAAATGGGAGTACTGGACAACCAGCTGTTTCGTCTCACTAGTTTTAGACTCTTCATCAGTACGAGCTCGCCTTGTCACCAGAAGATCCTGGGTTCAAAATCCGTCCGGTGGGTGCGTACTGCGGAAGAGTCCAAACTGGTGAGACGAAACAGCTGGTTGTCCAGTACTCCCAGTTTGTTTTCCAATGGTTCTCTGACCTATGTCAGCTCATGATGAAATCCTGTAACCAATCAATCACATGATAATAGTAATAATATATGATATCTAGATAAATTTCACTTATCTGATCAGTTCAGTGTTTAGTTTTGTGTCCTGATCTCATTGTTGCATAAAATAAATGCCTTTTCTGTACTTGCCCATCTTTTTGCCTCATATTAGAGTTATGGCATCAAGTATTGACCAAATACCAGATAGTCCTGATGCTGCTGATAGTGATGGTGAACAGGAGGAGGTGGAGAATCATGATGTCAACAGAGACGGTGAGACCAACAACAACGATGACGATGAAGAGGATATCGACCAGTCAGCGGTTGAAAATCTTCCAGATATCTTTATTAATAAGCACTTTTTTATTCACAATAAATCAATACCTAAAGATGAAGAACGTCTAATTGAACGTTTAATTATTGCATTTGCTGGGTAAGTCTACATGTGTTTGTTTTTTTCTTAATCATTACACAGTATTATTATTATTAATATTATTCCCTTGGGTTCCTAGTGGAACATAGGGCTTCAACTGCACGTCTCCACTTGCTTCTATCTTCTGCCGTACTTTTCACCTGCATCCATGTTAGTCCATACTGTTTCAACTCCTCTTCACACGATCTGCTCCATGTCACCCTTCCACTGACGTCCCACTCGCCGCTTTCCTTTCGGGTTCCACTCGAGGGTCTGACGCGCGATGTCACCCAGTGGCGTCCTCAGCGAGTGTCCAATCCATCTCCACTTTCTCCTGCATATTTGTTGAGCGATTGGTTCTTGTTTTGTTTCTTCCCATAGTTTCTTGTTGGTGATTCTTTCCGGCCATCTGATCTTCAGTGTATAGAGCGAAGACAGTTGTTGATAAAGGTCTGCAACAGGCTGTTGGAAATATTCTTTGTGACCCGCCAAGTTTCTGATCCATCCGTATAGAAGTGACTGACTTGACGTTTGTATTGAAAATCCGAATTTTGTTGTTGATGCTGAGGAGTGACGAAGATTTCCAGATTGGTTTCAGGTTGATGAATGTGTTTCTCGCCTTCCCGATTCTCGATTTGACATCTTCGTCCGTTCCTCCTGTAGTTGAGACAATGCTCCCTAGATAAGTGAAGTGAATGAAGTAACCTCTTTCAAATCCCTCCCGTTGATGGTGATTGGCGCTGGATGTTGCTGTTGTTGTTGTTGGTTGGTTATTTTCATAGCCTCCGTCTTGTCTATGTTCACCTGGAGTCCTTCCTGTCTTTGCTGCTTCTTTGACCAGTTTGTCGGTTTTCGCTTGTAAGTCTTCGATTTTGTGTGTGACATCAAACATAAATCATCCACGCGTGAAATCCAGGTCTTCTAGGTTCTTCACGTCGGTGGTCCAGGATATCCTTGTCTTCTCGTTTCCCACTGTCTGACGCATAATCCAGTCCACCACAATTAGGAATATCATTGGTGATAATAAGCACCCTTGTCTGACTCCTGTGTTTACTCCAAACGCCTCGGTGAGTTTTCCGTTGTGGATCACTTGACATGTGCCGTTGTCGTACAGCACACAGTATTACTTACTGATAATTATTATTCGTAGTATGTGCTGTTGTTTTTCAGATGATTAAGTGTTATTTCAAAATAGTAACTAGAAAATGTATTGAACAATTATTTTTTTTTTATTAATTATTATTATTATTGTTATTATTATATTCCTTTACGTTCCCAGTGGAACATAGAGCTTCAAGCTAGAGCTTTCCTTGAAGTTTAGGTAGCATTGGTGTTTATTTTTACAGGATGGGAGTTGCTAGCCTCACGCCCCCTCCCCCAAACTTCCCTCTTTACCATTCCTAATTATAAGCTTAGTGAGGTAAAGCAGTGCGTCAGTGGCCTGGGATCGAACCTTGAACCACATGCGTGGTTGGCGAGAATTCTACCTACCACTGTGCCACCGACACCCGTATTTTATAATACGTTACTTAAACTTCCAGTTGGCCCATCAGTTGCCGTACTTTCCACTATTAAGTCACACGTTTGAATTGCTTTTCCCTTCCATTAATTGAAGTTTGAACTGTTCATATAATGTCAGCCGCCCCCATACCATAAGTCTATAATACACTATCAAATTTTGTGAACATGTAAGTGTTTTTTTCTGAAATTGACTAATCACCACCATTCAAGGCATAATGTTCATGTTGTATGATACTAAATCAATAGATTTCACGTGATTTGAGGTAGTCGGTAGGAATGCCTGGATGTTCCTGACTATGAAGTCCTAGATATATGATGTAGGTTCATATCCTCAGGAGGATGAATATTAGTTCGTTCAAGTTTGGCAGTACACCTTTCTAACAAGTTCAAAACTTAGTTCCGGAGCTTCCAACTGTCGGCAGCCAGCTAACAACAATCCAAAGTCCACTGTCGATGACGAGTTAGTCGCCTTGACCGATAGAAGTCGATTAGCACCTTAGCAAAATAAAGGATTTAACACTGCTTACTCCACAGACTTGTTGACAATAAATGAAACACCTCAAAATGCGGATTTTCCACTTGCCTATTATTATTAGATCTATTGGTTGATGGATGAGTGCTACAATCCACAAGTTAACAAGTGGAAATATTAAAGTTAATCAATAAACCGGGGGGGGGGGTGCGGAAAGCATATCTGCCTAATAAAATCTTCAAATTTATCGAATCACTTCAAGTGTCATGGAGTTTTGGTTCATTGATCTAGGCGCTTGACTTCCAACCAATGAATGGGCCATGGGTTCGAACCCCGCTGCATGCATCCTGGTGGTTCGGTCAGCCACAGGTAGTATGACTCATCCTCACACAATGGGTGTTGGCTCATTGCCAAGTACATAGAACTGAAAGTGGTTGTGGGTTGTTGAGTAACATTCCCAACTTTAAATGTTGATTTTGTATTATCCCCTCACGCTAATTTGAAAAGTGCCTCAATGACACATCTCCATAGCAGTCAATTCTCTGTTATCGTTTTCAGTTGGTTCCACTACTGCCTACAATGTTTTCACTTTTGATTGGACACTGGCTGTTGTCATTTGTAATGTGGCCACTACGCTAGGTGGCTCGTCGTCACGGTACACTTAGGATTGTTGTTATTAGATGGTTGGAGGCGATCGGCAGGAAGCCCTGCTTGGACCTAGGTTTCGTGCTTGTTGGCACTCACTAGTCAGCAAGGCATATCTGCAACTTTGAAGGAACTCATGTCCCTACCGAGATTCGAACTCGTGTCATCCAGTGCTGCAGTCAGAGACGTTACCACTGAGCTATCGGGGCTCGCGATTGAACTTCTGTAGGACTGTATTTGATACTTTTGATTAGACAATAACTAGTGGCATGTGTCTAGTCCTTTGTTTACTGCAGACTGTATTCTATCAGTCAAGTTTACATTTCAAGTTTTCATTTCCTCATCATCACATTGTCTATTCTCCATGTCCCCCCACGGCCGCCCTCCAATCCGTGTCGCTTCCCATCCAGGTTCCACCGAAGGGCTTGGCGTGTAATATCAGTCAACTGAGCTAAAGGAAATTTTTGTATATGAATTCCATGTTTCTGATGGTTTTACTCTTTATGAACTGAGAAAGGGGTCCAATTGTCAAGCTTTCATTGTCCTACTATGGACAACATCTTCAGATCTTACCTCAATATGTTTTTAGAATTCTCCATGAATGATATAACTGTCTTCATTCTGACGATCTTGACTTTGTGATTGGCTTGCCCTCAGAATTTCCGCAATCCTTATGTTAATTTGTATTGGTTGTCGATCGTTCGTTCGATGACCTGATTGATAAATCTGTTCAACCTCAGTCAGTACGTCTATTGTTTGGAGGTTGATACGAATACACTACTCCCAGGCTTCTAGGAAACCTCTCCAGCATTCTTAGTTATTCCACGTTTATTTTTTCCTTCACGTTCCCCACTGGAACATAGGGCTTCAAGCTTGTGGCTTGAAGTTTCTGTAGCAGCGTTTATTTAACAGGATGGGGTTGCCAGTCTCATGCCCAACCTTTCCTCTTCACCAGCATTATTTCCGGCTTAGCGAGGTAAAGGAGTGCGTCGGCCGGGGATTGGACCCCGGACCATGTGCATGGTCGGCGAGCGTCCTAACCGCTATGCCACCGACGCCGTTATTCCACGTAACCCGTCAAATTGGTGTCCATAATTGTGCAACACGTATCATGAATTTTTTTCTTAACAGCTAGTTAGTTTATTTATGTCCTCATTAGGAAGAAGAATCATAATCCCCACCGTCTATTTGTCTGTCTGCCTGTCTGTCCATCTGTCTGAGTATTTGTGTTGACGTCACTCTGTCGTAAATCTCCAATCTCAACCTCATACATAAAACTGATGAACTGTCTAGCCTAATATCCACCTGTTTTGTTTGTTAATTCCAAACCAGTAATCCATTCATTAGTCATAACAATAATAATAATAAACTTTTATTTTAGACAATATGCGAACCACACAGTACAGAAATTTTCAGCTTATTTAATCCAAAAATATTCCCTCTTCATATAGGATTTACACGTAAACCATGTTGTTTACTGTTGTCATGTATAAAGAGAGAGAACCACCAAATCAGTAGATTGTGCTTCAAGAACTGCACAACGACTTTGTTGTGAAAGCTAAATTAAATATGTGAGCACGATTCCATGTAGTGATTGGCAGAAAGCCTGGCCAGCCAGACCTAGGTTTCGTGCTTGTCGGCACTCATCAGCCAGTCAGCATGGCGTATGTATCTGCAACAACCTTGATGGAACTCATGTCCAGTTTAAAAAAAGAAAAGATCATTTGATGTAATTGCATGACTGACTAAAAGATCAATAAATGCAGAAGATTTTGAGCAGCATTTTGATGGATGGAAATTCTGATGGCCCAGTAGTTTATGCCAGGCCGCTGTAGCGCTGGGACTAAGTGCGTGTTTGTGGCTCAACACCTATCTGTTTATATAAAACAAAAGTTCAGGCACACGAATAAGCAGCAATCGGATAGTTTAGTAGGTCAAGTAGTCCATGGTGTTCTCAGTGCATCTTTAATAATCCGTGAATTAAAAGTTATATGAAATATAACGAAAATATTCATTCAGACGTCTAGAAAAAAACAAACCAAATAATTGAGCAAACAATGTCTATCCTTTTCGATAATTTCCCTTTCTGGCTCTACAATTACAGGATTTTGTCATTTTCTGACATAGGTTAGAGAACCATTCGAAAACCAGCTGGGAGTACTGGACAGCCGTTTCATCAACCTAGTCTGGGACTCTTCACTAGTACCCACCCACCGGGGTTCTAACCCAGAACCTTCTGGTTACAAGGCGATCTCGTAGACCATTAAGCCACTCACTGCGATCCGATCCAATGGCCAGTGCATGAATTCTAACTTCTGCCAGTTCACGACATAGTGTGACTGGCACTAGCCAATGTATTCGGAGAGTATTTGTCCTCACATCT